TGACATCCTAACACCGAGTATCTATGAATGTGAACTTATTTGGAAATATGACCTTTGCAGTTGAGTCAAGTTAAGGTAAGGTCTTACTGGATTAGGATGGAACCTAGTCCAATGCCAGGTATCCTTATAAGCAAAGGAAAATTTGTACACAGACATCACGTGGGGGGGAACCCCATGCAAAGATGGAAGCAGATGTTGAAGTCATGCTTCTAAAAGCCAAGGAACACTGCAGGTGGCTGGTGACCGTCAGAAGCTAGGAATGAGCCATGGGACCAATACCCACTTTGAGCCCCAAGAAGGTACTTCTGGCCTCCTGAACTGTGAGGGAATAAATTGCTATTGTTACAAACCCCTCAGTTTGTGACTTTGTCATGGCAGCCCTAAGACACTAATATAATATGCTACATATTTTTGTTAGAAAAAAATAAAAATAAAAATACGAATAGGGGCACCTGGGTAGCTCAGTTGGTTGAGCACCTGACTCTGTTTCAGCTCAGGTCATGATCTCATGGGTTGTGGGATTGAGCCCCACATCAGGTTCTGCAATTGGCAGGAAGTCGGCTTGAAGATTATCTGCCTCTGTCGCTTCCCCCCCTCATGTGTGCACATGTATGGGTGCTTTCTCTCAAATACATTTAATTAATTAATTTATTTATTTATTTATTTAATTTTTTTTCCCCGGTCAAAGTCCCTTTTTTTTATTAAGGGTTATCAAGCTGTACACAGTTCCTACGCCTTCCGCTGTGAGCCCGGGCAGCACCGCGTTCCACACCCACAGCGAACCGGGCCGGGCGAGGGGTTGGGGCCGAGAGTAGGAGCTGTCTCTCAAATAAATTGTAAAAAGAATATATAGGGCAGCCCCGGTGGCCCAGCAGTTTAGCGCCGCCTTCAGCCTACGGCATGATCCTGGAGACCCGGGATCGAGTCCCACGTCGGGCTCCCAGCATGGAGCCTGCTTCTCCCTCTGCCTCTGTCTCTGCTTCTCTCTCTCTCCCTGTGTGTGTGTGTGTGTGTGTGTGTGTGTGTGTGTCTCATGAATAAATAAAATAAAAATTTTTACAAATAAAAAAATTTAAAAAAGAACATATATATAAGGCTATACATATACTTACATACATCTTATATATACAAGATATGATATATATAAGTATACATGACTGTATATATGACTATGTATAAACTACCCCTCCTCCCACTTGTGTGCACACGCCTTCTCTCAAATAAATTTTTAAAAAGAATATATATACAAGGTTATACATATACTTGCATATATCTTATATACATACATATTATGTGTATATATACATATACAGAAGATATATGTTAGTATATATATACTATGTATATAACCATATATAAACTCATTTTTGTGAAATGAAACATAAAAGATGAGCCAGAAATTGATAAAAATTGTTACACATAGAGGATAATTTGAAATGGCATGGAGAGAATGTGTTAGCAAGACTTCTTTAAATAGACCTTGTTGTCTCATTTGACTTTATATATGTTACACATGTTTTACATCTTTCTAAAAAAGTAAACCAGAAAAAAAAAGAAGATTGAAACTGAACACAAATACTATCGAAAGAACCCAACTGTATACAAATTGACTCCATAACCACAGAGAGAAGACAGATTTCACAAAACCGTCAAAAACAATAAATATTCTGATGGGATATATAGTGTAGGACAGAGTTGAAGGACAAAAAAAATGCAAAATGATCTTAAATTTCTCTCAGTAGGTTTACTGTTTGTGGAAATGCTACAACTGTAATTTAAGAGTATGCAATTGTTGCAAGAAAATGCAAATAAGTAACATGTTGGTAGTGTAAGGAACATAGATTTTCAGTGTAAGAGAAAAGAAATGCAAATACAAAGGAGGTGAAGGAAAAACAAATCTCTGATGTTCAATTAGAACTGGTACAAAATGTAAGAAGTGAAACTGTATAGTACAAATGAAACTGTATAGTATTTTGTAGCTCTCATCACTGAAAGGGGCCTGGCAGCTGCCTAATCTCATTGCAAAGGTCTGCTCTCATTTTCTGTTTGTGAGATTCTTAATCACTTCCCAGAATTTTCCATCTTAATACATCATTGAAAGCCTTAAACAGTAGACATCTTACTTGCAGTGTGTATATTCCCGTGGATTATCCGTTCCAGTGTTGCCCCTTACAGAGGCCATTGAAATGAAGCTGTTGATTGACTGCCCCTGAAGCTGCCAGATTTTTCCAGACTAACAGTTACAGGAGCTCAGGGGGTGCTATAGCAACAGATCTCATTTTGGACAAAATGTGCATATCTAAATTAGAGAGGTTTTACCTTCACAATACACCCAAGCTGCCTACTTCCTCCTACTTAATGAAGAGAGGAGAGGAAGCCATCTTCTCTCACCACATCTACCAATCAGCTTGCACTGCAACCATCCAGTCGGGAAGAGCCTACACTCATATCAAAGACAGACCTTTCCACTTCTGTCCTGGACTCCAGGGCACAAGCACTCTCTAGTAGTCCTCACCCTGGAACACAACACAGCAAAGATCACACATCTTCTCTGGTCGCACATCTTCCAGAGACCACCTCATTTGTCTGATCACCTGTATCACAAATTCATCAAAACATCTGTTATTTCTATTTCTATTCCTCATGTTCAATATTCCCTCAACCCTCTCAGCGAGGCTTTGTCCTCACCGTCCCACTGGCGCTGCTCTTCTTGGGGTGGCCATGGCCTCCCTGTTGCCAAATCCAACCATCATTTCTCTGTTTTCCTCTCACTCAAGCTTCTGGGCAGCAGACCACACAGTGCATCATTCCCTCTTCAAAACACTTTTTTCTTCCACAGACTTCTGGTTTTCCTCCCTTCTCTCAGACCTCTCCTTCTGAGTCTCCCTCCTCTTCTTCCTGTCCGTGGTCACCTATGTTGGAAGGCCCTAGGACTCAGTTCTTAGACTTCAATTTATCCTCCTCCTGTGTGAGCTCATTCAGAGTTATTTAAAATATTTTCTACATGCAGGGGTGCCTGGGTGGCTCAATTGGTTGAGCATCTGACTCTGGATTTTGGCTGGGGTCATGATCTTGGGTTTATGATATCAAGCCCCACATAGGATGGGGAGTCTGGTGCAGATTCTCTTTCTCTTTGCCCCTCTTCCCCTCAAATAAATAAATAAATACTTAAAAATAAAACAAAATATTTTCTACATGCGAATGAAGACCAAAGTCACATCTTAAGCTCCAATCTCTCTCCAGGCTCCAGAGACATTCATCCACTTGCGTGTTGAACTTCTCTACCAGGATGATCTCTGGAGTCAGGCTGCTGAGGTTTGTATCCTTATTTGTGAAAAGGAGATAATAGTGATACCTACTTCACTGGGTTACTTAGAACAGCGTGAGCACAAAGTAAATGCTCAGTAAATACCCTATTTGTTTACTTGTTTAAATTCCCTAAAAGTTAGAGAGAAGGAACCTCGTATAAGTGTGTCTGTGTGGGTGTGCCCCCATGTGCATACATGTGTCTAATTGTACAATGAATTCTAAAGACCTAGAACAGGGCCTGGCCCCTAGCAGGAGCTGGATATTGCTTGAATGAGTGAAGGGATGAATGGATGAATCCATTTCTTTAGAGGAAGAAAAGGCGGTGGTGAGTCCAGGAACCAGGCAAATTGCCACTGGTTGTGCCTTAATTGCAGGAGTCATCCATCTATGGATTTTTTCCAACTCCCCTACACAGTGTCTTTGAAATGTCCCTTCTTATTGACCAAGTGTGGCATTTCTGCCTCTGGCGTCTGACAGTGCGGGGCATGCCCTGCTTCGTTTCTTGGAAAGTGTAAAATACAGTTAATTGTTCAAACTCATAAATAAATGCTTTTACAGTGAGACTCTGTTTCACCAGCACTTAGTAGAACCCTAGAAAGCAGTCCTATTAGGTAAAATCTGTATCTATAGATAGAGCTATATCTATCTATCTATATATATATAACAAAAATAAATGTGACAGTAAAAGATGAGTAGGGGACTGGAAGTAAAGGAGGGATTTAGAAAGATTTTGCTGAATACCGGTAGTGAAGCTCTTGGGAAAGTTGACACGCACCCGCAGCAGCGCTAAGGTTCTGGCCGATCGCCCCGCCCCGCCCTCCAGCCCCGCCTCTGCTCGTACTCCGCCCCGCCCCTGCTCCGCCCCCTCCTGTTCCCGGGCCGCGCCCTGCCGGCACCCAGGTTCCTCCCGGCCCCGCACTCCCGCCCCGCCTCTGCTCTTACTCCGCCTCCGCCCCTGCCCCGCCCCCGCCCCCTCCTGTTCCCGGGCCGCGCCCTGCCGCACCCAGGTTCCTCCCCGCACACTCCCTGGCCCCGCCCCGCATCCCGCCTTGGCCCCGCCCCACGCTGCTCCCAGGTCCTGCTCGGTCCCGCGCTCCGACCCCGCCCCACACCTTGGCCCCGCTCCCCACCCGTGCTACACTCCGGCCCCGCCTCACGAGCCGACCCCGCCCGCGCTCCCGCCTTGCCCTGAATCAGCCCCGGCAGAGCCCGGCCGGATTCCCCCGGCCGCCCCGCGCTTCGTCCGCGGTGCCCCCGCGCCCCTGTCCCGCCCACGACTCGGCCCCACCCTGCCCTCGGCCCCGCCGCACGTCTCGGCGCTGCTCCGGCGTCGGCCCCGCCCCGCGCCCCGGTCCCGCCCCGCGCCCCGGCACCGCCCCGCGCTCCAGCCCGGCTCCGCATCCCCTCGGAGCCCCGCCCTGTCCCCCGACCGCGCCCTATCCCTCTGGCCCTCCTTGCACTCCCGCCCGCATCCCAGTCGGCCGCGCCCAGCAACGCCCCCAGCTCCCGCCGGGTCCCGAGCCCCGGCCCAGCTCCACGACTCGGCCCCACCCTCCACCTCCGACCTGCCCTGGCCTCGGCCCCGCCCCTCGGCCCCGCCCCTCGGCCCCGCCCCTCCCATCGGCCCCGCCCCTCGGCCCCGCCCCTCCCCTCGGCCCCGCCCCGCCCGCATCCCCGCCCCGCCCCGCGCCGTGGCCCCGCCGAGCTCTGCGTCCCGTGGGGCTCCGGCGCGCAGGGAACGTCTGCAGGACCCGGAGCTCCCGCGGCCCGAGCCCCCTGGCCCGGGTGGCCGCTGCAGCCCGAGCGGCCGGGCGAGGAAAGATGGCCGCCCTGACGACGGTCGTGGTGGCGGCGGCGGCCACGGCGGTAGCGGGAGCTGTGGCGGGGGCGGGGGCGGGCGCGGCCCCCGGGGGCGGCGTGGGAGCCGCGCAGGTGCCGCAACAGGTAAATCGCGGAGGGCCGGAAGCCGTTCCCGCGGCGGGCGTGGGCGAGGCGCTGTGGGCGCCGGGGCGGGACGGGGTCGGGCCCTCGCCGAGCGGGTGCCCTCCGCAGCGCGGTTCCGGGGCGGGGGCGCTGCGCTGGGAGCCTCGGTGGCCCGCGGCCGGGCCCGCGCCGGGCGTTGCGCGTTGTGGGCTTGTGCGTTTAACTGCTTTTCCGGAGCCCAGAGCCACGGCCATGTGGTTTTGGCATCGAGGGAAAGTCGCCGCTTCCTAGCCTGTGCTGAGAACCTAACCTCTTGGCGACTCCGTGCCTTCTGGAAAGGCAGGATCTGAGCCTCGCACCTCCCGTGCACAGTGCCTGGTCGGAGAGAGATTCGGGCCCGGTCACTGGTGGCTGCTCCGTTATTGTATCTGAGCGAGGAGCCCAAGAAGAAATAAATACGGGGTGGTCTCATACCTGCCTAGGAGCTCTTTCTCTGCGCTAAGGACCAGAGGATCCTCAGGAATGGTTGGATCCAGTTGCTTAAGCCAGAGACCTTCATTGCTCTCATTCTCCCACAGCCCACACCCAAGGCACGGGCAATCCCCTCATGTTCTACCTGCACTTAAGTCAGAAATCCCACTCTTCACCTCTCCAGTGCTGCTGTCCTTGTCCACACCATCATTTCTCCCTGGCTGAAATACTTTCTTAATTGGCTTCTGTTCTAACATTCTTGCCTTCTTAAAGTATCCTCAACAGGGATCCCTGGGTGGCGCAGCGGTTTGGCGCCTGCCTCTGGCCCAGGGCGCGATCCTGGAGACCCGGGATCGAATCCCACGTCGGGCTCCCGGTGCACGGAGCCTGCTTCTCCCTCTGCCTGTGTCTCTGCCTCTCTCTCTCTCTCATTCTATGTGACTATCATAAAAAAAAAAAAAAAAAGTATCCTCAACAGCCAGGGCAGTTCAGTCCAGTAATGACACTCTTCAGCTCAGAACCCTCATAGTAAAAGCCGAATTCCTTACCACGGTCTACAGAGCCTTCTGGTTGTCCCTCAGACATGCCTAGCGCTCTCCTACCTTATGAGCTTTGTCATTGCGATTCCCTCTTCCCTTTTGATTCTACCGCTAGCTCTGTTTTTTTTCTTTTTAAAAAAAATTTTTTTTTATTTATTCATGAGAGACATACAGAGAGGCAGAGACATAGGCAGAGGGAAGAGTTCCCCTCTCTGCTGAGCAGGGAGCCCGATGTGGGACTTGATCCCAGGACCCCGGGATCATGATCTGAGCCAAAGGCAGACAGCGGTCAACCACTGAGCCACCCAGGCACCCCTAGCTCTGTTTCTTTCATGTAACTTTGTTCAAGTGCCATCAGCTCAGTGATTCTTTTCTTTTTTTTAAATTTTATTTATTTATTCATGAGAGACACAGAGAGAGGGGGAGAGACATAGGCAGAGGGAGAAGCAGTCTTGATGCAGGAAGCCTGATGTGGGACTCGATCGCCAGACCCTGGGATCACACCCTGAGCCAAAAGCATCTAGACGCTCAACCGCTGAGCCACCTAGGTGTCCCTCAATGCTTCTTTTCATGACTTACCCAAACTGAATCCCCTTACTCATCACACCCTATTCCCTCCCTGGTTTTGTTTTGCTCCATGGCACTTACTACCAGTAGGCTATTTGTTACATATTTTCCTTTTTCTCTTGTGTTTTAGTCCTCAATCATAGTAGGCACTCACTGAGTATTTGAGGATCAATCCAGACTTGAAGGAAGGCTTTTGTGAAGTGAGGATAGGTTCTCTCTTTTTCTTCTTCTAAGAGAATATAGCGATTTTCTATCTTGACTTGAATTATTAGCTCAGGAAATTCCACCTCAGCCAAATGTTTCATAGCATCCCCCTGTAATTCTATTATTCTACCTCTGGCCCAGATGTCCTAGGGGGAAAAAAGTAAAATATAATAATGCATTAAATACTTTAAAAAATGATTTTTAACATTTTATTTAATGTATGATCCCAGGGGTTTAGCCAGCTTGCTGGCTTTCTCCATGAAACCTTTCTGGCTTACTCTAGTTCAAAGTGATTTGTTCTCTAAATTCTGTCATCATGTTTTGCCTGATAATGTTATTAATGGGCCTTTTTATCACTCCTTTCTGGTGATGTTTGCCTTTCCAGGGGTTGGATCAAAATCACCTGTGGAGCTGTTTGAAATATTTTATTTATTTCTGACATTTAGCAATGTCTGGAGACATTTTTGGTTGTCATAACTGGAGTGGAGTTGGGTTGTGTGTGCCACTAGCATCTGGTGGGTAGAAGTCAAAAGATAGTCCCCCAACAAAATAATTATCTAGCCCAAAATGTCAGGAGTGTTGAGGTTGAGACACCCTGCTTTATATGCTTTCATCATTTTAGGGAAGGAAGAGCCTCGTAGGTGATGAGGACAGCAGTAACAATCTTTCAAGGGTGTTTGGGCTTTAAAAAAGAAATTAGAACCACTGCTGTACCATATTGTGAGGTTTTTGAGGATTTTAGCTAGGTATAATCCATCTTTGCACTTCCCTCATATACCACACACACCTACACGCTCAAATTCTCAGCTTACCCCTGAACTTGAGTATTTGTCATATGATTAAATGCATGAATATTCCCACTGACTCTTATAGTGAAATCAACTAATGTTTTTTGAGGAGAGATTTTTCCTGATGACCACTTCATGATGTAAGAAATGTTCACTAAAATAGCTAAAATTCCTGTATTAGTTTGTTAGGGCATACTAACAATGTATCACAGACTAGGTGGCTAAACAACAGAAGTTAATTTCCTCACAGTTCAGAAGGCTAGAATAGTCCAAGGTTAGGATGCTGCTAGGATTGCTTTGTGGTGTGAGCTCTCTCCTTGGCATGTAGATAGCTGCCTTAAGTGTCTTCACATGGCCTTTCCACTGTGCACAGAGAGAGAGATCACCAGTGTCTCTTTCTCTTCTTCTTCTTCTTTTTTTTTAAGGTTTTATTTATTTATTTGACAGAGAGAGAGTACAAGCAAGAGGAGCAGCAGGGGGAGAGGGAGAAGCAGGCTCCCCACTTGAGCAGGGAGCCCAGCGTGAGGCTCAATCCCAGGACCTCGGGATATGACCTGAGCCAAAGGCATGCACTTAACCACCTGAGCCACCCAGGCACTCCTCTTCCTCTTCTTACATGGACACTAGTCCTATTTGGGTGGGGCCTCACACTTATGATCTCATTTAGCTTTAATTACCTCCTCAAAGGCCCTATTTCCAAGTATAGTCACAAAGGGGGTTAGGGCTTCAATATATGAATTGGGGGGAAGGCATAAATTAGTGTATAACAGTTCCTTCACATTATTTTGGAGAAATTATCTTCGAAGTTTTAGAAACATTTTGTATTGTATTTTATTCTACAACCTCCTTAGGGTATGGAACCTTATAAATTTCTTACCCATAATGAAAAGTAATAACGCACCCTGCTTATCCTTTCTCATATTTGTATGTTTATTGATAATCCCCCTCACCATTGTTTTACAAGTCTGAAGACCACAAATCCTTACCTTCCTCTCAAATACCGTTTCCCTCTTAATCATTTTAATAGCTGAATTATGAGTTTTAAAAGGTATCTATAACAGCATCACACTAGCGTGTGTCCCTGCTTTAAACCAGGATAGGGTTGCGTCCTGTTCTGTTTTTTTCTTAAGTAAACTTCCCTCTGATGGCCTAGATGTTATGGCCCTTGGCTGCTTGGAGTAGTCCTTTAGTAATAACTACATTTCTTCTCTGACTTTATCTGATTACTTACAAGGAATTTCCTCTAGAAGATCACACACATGTGTAGGGTTATATCTGTGTTTAGGTGTGGTAGGCTGAATAATGCATCCCTCCCCCCAGGATATTCACATTCTAATCCCCAGTACCTGTGGCTCTGTGACCTTACATGGTAAAAGGGACTTTGCAGATGTGATTTAATTAGAGATCTTAAAATGGAGAGATTATCTTGGCTTATCTGTGTAAGCCTAATGTATTCACAAAGGTCCTTTTAAGAGGGAGGCAGAGGGATCAGAGCCAGTGGTAGGAGATGTGACAATGGAAGGAAGAGGGTGCAATGATGTGAGGAAGGGGCATGAGGCAAGGATGAGGGTGGCTTTTAAGAGCTGAAAAAAAGTATGGAAGTAGATTCTTCCTTGAAGTTTCCAGAAGGAACACAAACCTGCCAACACCTAGGGCTCCAGAAATGTGAGATAATAAATTTATGTTGTTTAAGCCAGCAAGGTTGTGTTAAACTAATTTGTGGTAAGTTGTTACAGTAGCATTAGGAAACCACTACACTGGGGAAGACCTGAGAAAGCCCTAAGCCTTCATCCTTGGCTGACCTTGAAGCTGTGTGCAAGTGATGAGTGAAGGCTGAGTTTGACTTGTAAACAGCCTGCCTAAGCGTTGAAGGTGTACCCTGGTATGCGTGCAGACCTCCTTAGCAAAGGCTGGAAGATGTATTGGTTCTCAGCATCTAGGAAAACCTCTGACCACTCAACCATTAGATGACAACTGAGCTAACCAGGCAGAGATTTCAGTGCCACACAAAGAATATAGTTTTCACAGAATTAGTTCAGGAAGTTGACTAAACAGCAACAACAACAAAGCTTGGGGTTGGAAGAGAATCTCATTTTGAGGCAAATTATATTTTTAATATAATTATTATATTTATAATGTAATATAATTATGTTAATATAATAGATTAACCAAATTATATTTTTAAATATCAAGTTTTTAACAAAAAAAATATGAGCTATGCAAAAACCAAAAAAAACACAAGATAATTTTTTTTTTTTAAGCAGGATAAAGAAACTCTTAAGGAAGACTAGGTGTTGGAAATAATAGACAAAGACTTTAAATAAGCTGTTTTAAATTCATTCAAAAAAAACTAAAGGAAACCATGGCTACAGAACTAAAAGAGCATGAGGATGATGTCTCACTAAATTAAAAATACCTATAAAGAGATTAAAATTGTAAAAAATTAAATTAAATAGAAATTCTGGAGTTAAAAAGTACAAGAACTCAAATGACATGTTCCCTAAAGGGGCTCAACATCCAACTTCAGCTGGCAGAAGAAAGAGTCAGAAACTTGAAAATAGGCCAATTCAGACTATCCAGACTGAGGAACAGAAATGAAAAAAAGAAAAATGAACAGAGTCGCAGAGTCCTGTGAGACACCATGAAGATCATATGTACTGAGAATCTCAGAAGGAGAGGAGAGAGAAATCAGAAGGGGCAGGAGATTATAAGAAATTATGGCTGAAAAACTTCCCCAATTTTTTTTAAAATAGGCTTCACATGCAGTGTGGAGCCCAACATGGGCCTTGAACTTATGACCCTGAGATCAAGACCTGAGCTGAGATCTAGAGTTGGAGGCTTAATCAACTGAGCCACCCAGGTACCCTGAAAACTTCCCAAATTTGATGAAAAATATTAATCTACATATTGTTAGAGCTTGATAAACTCCAAGTAAACTCAGAGTTCATACCTGGACACATCATAATCAAACTGTTGAAAGACAAAGACAAAAAAAAAAATCTTGAAAGCACCAAGAGAAGGAACTTGTCATATACACAAGAAATCTTTAATAAGATTAACAGCTGACTTCTTGTCAGAAACCTTGGATTCCAGAAGGCAGTGGAATGATTTAGTTAAAGTACTAAAAGTAAAGAACTGTTAACAAAGAATTCTGTGTCCACCCAAATTATTCTCTAAAAATGAAGAAATTAAGACATTCCCAGACAAACACTAACATATATGCCAGTATATATGCCCTACAAGAAGTATTAAAGCAAATCCTTCAAAGTGAATGACAAGACATAGAAATTCAAATCCACATGAAGAAGAATATCAATGAAAAGTACTGGTAAAGTAAATAGGGAGGTAAATATAGAAGTCAGTATAAATGTAGTTTTTTGTTTGTACCAAAATTGTTTCAGAAACTAGATGAGGGGATTTTTTTCAATTCATTCTGTGAGACTATTATTATCACCCTGATACCACAATCAGACAAAGATCACAAGAAAGAAAATAACAGACTAGTATTTCTTACGAATACAGATGCAAATTCCCCAACAAAATATTAGTAACTCAAATCTAACAATATATGAAAAGGATTCATACCATGATCAGCTGGGATTTGTACCAGACATACAGGTTAGTTCAGCATATGAAAATCAATCAATCAATAATAGAACTTATTAATAGAGTAAAGGACAAATCACATGATTATTCCAGCAGATTTAGAAGGAGCAATTGACAAGATCCAACACCTTTCCATGATAAAAAAACATTCAACAAACTAGCAATGAAAGAGAACACATCAATCTGATAAAGGCTCTATAAAATGCCCACAGCTGACATAACACTCAGTGACGAAGGATTAAAAAGCTTTCCGTATAAGATAAGGAACAAGACAAGAATGTCCGTTTTCACCACTTACTCACTGGAGATTCTAGCAAAGGCAATTAGGCAAGAAAAACAAATTGGAAAGGAAGAAGTAAAACTATCCTTATTTGCAGGTGGCATAATCTGTATATAAAAATCTTTAAGGGTCCACATAAAAACTACTAGAGCAAATAAATTCAGCAAGATTGAAGGATAAAAAAGCAATCGATAAAAATTAGTTATAATTTTATATGCTAGCAATGGACAATTCAAAAGTGAAATCAAGAAAATTTTGTTTCTAGTAGAATCATAAGAATAAAACACATATGAATGAATTTCACAAAAGAAGTAAAAACTTACGCTCTAAAAATTCCAAAACATCATTGAAAGAAAAGAAGGAAGACCTACATCATTGGACATTTTAGGCTCATGAATATGAAGAGTTAATATTGTTAAGATGGCAATACTCCCCAAATTGATTTGCAGAGACAGTGCAATCCCTGTGGAAATCTCAGTTGCCTTTTTGTTCATGAATTGATAAGCTGTTTCTAAAATTCATATGGGAAATGCAAGGGACTCAAAATAGCCAAAACAGTCTTGATGAACAAAGTTAGAGGACTCATATTTCTTAATTTCAAAACCTATTGTGAAGCTACAGTAATCAACGGTGTGGTATTGGCATAAAGATAGACATACAGATTAGTGAGAGTTAAGAGGTAAAGCCTACGTTTATGGGCAATTGATTTCCAACAAGTGTGCCAAGATAATTCAGTAAGAAGATTCTTTTCAGCAAGTGGTGTTGGGATAACTGGATATCTACATACAAAATGAAGTGAAATTGGGCTCCTGCCATGCACCATATATAAAAAAATTAACTCAAAATAGATGGAGACCTAAGTGTAAAAGATAAAAGTATAAAACTCTTAGAAAAAAATGTAGATGTGAGTCTTCATGACCTTTGAATGTTTCTTCTGTATAATATCTAATACACAAGCAGCCAAAGATAAAATGGATGAATTGGACTTTATAAAAATTGAAAGTGTTTGTGTTTTGAAGGATGTTATCAGGAAAATGGAAACATGGCTCAGGAAAAAGGGGAAAATATTTGCAGGTCTTTTATCTGATAAGGGAGTTATATCCAGAACATATAAAGAATGCTTCCAACTAACAATAAAAAAGACAACCCAATTTTTATTTCTTTACTTTTTAATTTCTTAATAATTTTATTTATCTGAGAGAGAGAGCGCATGCATATGCACACATGCATGAGTTGGGTGAAGGGCACAGGAAGAGGGAGAAGCAGACTCTCCTCTGAGCAGGGAGCCCAACCTGGGGCTCGATTCCAGCACCCTGGGATCATGACCTGAGCTGAAGGCAAATGCTTTCTTAACCAACTGAGCTACTACCCAGGCACCCAAGACAACCCAATTTTTAAAGTGAGAAAGTAAAACAGAATTACCTTGTGATCCAAAAATTCCACTGTTAGGTGTATGCCCAAGAGAAAGCATATTCATACTAAAGCTTGCACAAAAATGGTCATAGTAGCATTATTCATATTGGCCAAAGAGTGGAAATAGCCCATTTCCCATAAACTGATGAATAGGTAAACAAAATATGGTAGATCCATATAATAGAATATTATTCAGCCATAAAAAGAAATGAAGTACAGATTTATGATACAATGTGGTTGAATATTAAAAACATTATACTAAGTGAAAGAGGCCAGACACAGGGTTACACATTGTGTGATGCCATTTATATTAATTGTGCAGAACAGGCAAATCCATGGAGTCAAAAATAGATTAAATGGTTGCCAGGGGCAAGTGGGGAAGAGGGGTGAGGAGTGACTGCTGGCACATCCGGGATTTCTTTTTGGTATGATGGAAATTTTCTGGAATTAGGTAGTAGTGATGTTTGTACACATTTGTGAATGTATTAAAAACCATTGAATTGTACACTAGATGGATATACTCTATGGTAATATGAATTACGTATCTCAATGAAAAAATATTTCCTAAATTCATTACTTTTTTTTTTTTTTGGTTGCTTCTAGAAATGTAAACCCTTGTTTCCTTTCTCTCTCATCTCCTACATCAATCTGTCAGCAATTCCTCTTGGTTATAGATCCAAAATGTATTTGGTCTTACTACTTTTTTTTTTTTTTAAGATTTTATTTATTTGAGAAAGAGCAGGGGGAGGAGCAGGAGGGAGAGGGACAAGCAGACATCACACTGAGTACAGAGCCAGACGTGGGACTCAGGCCCAGGACCCAAAGATCATGACCTGAGCTGAAACCAAGAGTCAGATATTCAACCAACTAAGCCACCTAGGCAGCCCTGGTCTTACTTCTTGTTATATCTGCCACTACCCCCGTCCCCCTAGACACCATCATCCCTCATCCATGTTCTGGATGTACCAGCTCCTTCCTCCATCCTTCTACTTCCAGTCTTGCTTTACCTCCTCCCCCCACCTCCCACCAATTTATTCTCTGAAAATGGCCAGAAAGTGTTTCTTAAAAATTTCCATCTATCATGATATTCTTCTGCTCAAAACTCTTGAGTAAAATCCAGACTCCCTAAGTGACTTGAAATGCCAATGAGATAGGCCATGTACCTGCCTGTCTACCTTTACCTCCTACCAAGCTCCCCACCTCTACTAACATCATGTCATCACTGCTCTTTCTCTGCTTGAACCAGCCAAGGTCCTTCCTGCTCTGCAGCTTTTACACACACTGAGCCCTCTGCCTGGGACCCCTTTCCCTACTCTTTGTGGCATGGCTGGCTCCAATATTCCTTAAGCGTCATCCCCTCAATAGAACTTCTGTGGTCATTCTAACTAAAAAACCAATCCTTTAATCCATTATCTCCATCTCAGTCCTGTTTCTTCCCTCTCCCCCGCTTTTTTTTTTTTTTTTAAGATTTTGTTTACTTATTTGCGATTTAGAGAACAAGCAGGGGAGCAGAAAAAGCAGAGGGAGAAGGAATAGCAGGCTCTTCGCTAAGCAGAGAGCCCAATGTGGGGCTTGATCCCAGAACTCTGAGATAGTGACCTGAGCCAAAGGCAGCCCTTAACCAACTGAGCCACCCAGGCACCCTTATCCTGTTTATTTCTTAAGTAGCACTTATTGCAGTTGGTGTTTTTTCTTTATTGCTGGTTTACTTTTTTCTTTTTGAATGTTTCCCTCATTAGACTTTAAGCCTGGGGCCATATTGATGTAGGTCATCATTATTTCCCTGGTGTCCAGAGCACCACATATCACATCATAAGTGTTTAATATATATTGCTAAATGACTGAAATAATTAGATCTTTTTGTAAAAATCCCCAGACTTAATGTTTTTTAATTTAGCATTTTAAAATTAAATAAGATCAGCCCCCAAATTATCCCTCAAGAAACTTGATTACTGACACTTTATCTCCGAAAAAAAAATTCTGCCTTCATCTTTTGCCATTTTTATTATTGATGGTAAATCTGTTTTTGTTCTCTGTGTAGAATGACAGTGGTTTTGGTACTTCGGGTGGGATTCGTCCCTTTCAGCTTCAAAACTGGAAGCAGAAAGTCAGTCGGACAAAGAAAGCAGAGTTCATACGCACAGCAGAAAAATTAAGAAATCAGTAAGTATAAGAACATTATCTTCAGTTAACATTACTAGTTGTGTTATTTGAATCAGTGTATTTCAAGGGAAACAAAACAGTTATTTGTTTAGATCGCATACATTGGTACATTTTCACTTACCAAGATAAGCACTTGGTAAATATTTTTGAGTTCAGTGATTTTAATGAAGAGTCTGTACACTCGAGTTGTTTTTCTTGAAATGGCCTTTTAATTGATCTCCCTCCCTCAGTCTCTCCTCTTTCAGATCCGTCCTGCACATCATGTGTAGAGTAATGGAGAAGTTGCCATTTACTTTCATTTTTCATTTTTAGCATATGTGTATTTTTTCTTTAAATAACCAGTGATGTCTGTCGAATGTTCATCATCAGCAGGACCATGATATAAGTATTGTAAAGGATGATCAAAAGAATTAGAACTTATACACCCAACCCTACCCTGCAGTTGAGGGCTTTTTTTTTTTTTTAAGATTTTTAAAATTTATTTATGAGAGAAGAGAGAGGCAGAGGGAGAAGCAGGCTCCCTGCAGGGAGTCGGATGTGGGACTTGATCCGGGATCCCAGGATTACGCCCCTGAGCTGAAGGCAGATGCCCAACCGCTGAGCTACCCAGGCATCCCAGTTGAGGGCTTTATACGAACACTGCTTGACTTTGTATAATACTAATTTCCTAAGGAAATCAGGAGAAATAGAGCCTATTGTAAGGGATGGTCTCTAGATGGGCATGAATGTGGCAGTCCTGTTTAGAAATTCTGCCAACAAAAAAGTATACTGTTTGAGTTTTGAAACTTATACCATACTGTAGCTTTGGGAGATTGAATTGTCTCTGCATTGATATAATAGTTTTATTTTTAATACTCAGAATTTGAGGAAATACAATTTTATTTTATTTTTTATTTCTGAAATGTATGATTTTAGGTAGAACTGGACTCTAGGTCAGGGGTCTGACTTATGTTTGTCTCTAGACAGGGTAATCAGCCAAGTGGTTAATAGCCATGTTTATAGCAAACCAGTCAATTATGGCAGTATATATACTTTGTTTACCAGTATGTATTAGGTTTTATAGCTCTGAATAGACTTTCTTCATCTTGTTATAAGATTTTGGAAAAACTCATGGAAAGAAAGAGTGTCAGAAAAATCCATTAATAGAGTGTTTCTGGCCAACAATTTTCATTGAATACAGAAAAGCAACAGTTTAAAATATAGTTCTGTTTTTGTTTTCAGCATAGGTAATACATTCACATGGTTCAAAAATCAACATACATCGAAGGGTACAGAGTGGAGAGTCTGTTTCACCCCAGATCCCAGTCAACCACCTCTCCTCCCTTCAGACAGCCACTATTTTTATTTTCTTATATCCTTCCACAGGATTTTTATTTGCTTAGGAGGAAATAAAAATACATATTCAGATTTTTCCTTTTTTATATAAGTGGTAGCATACTGTACACACTTTTACGCATCTTGTTTTGTTTTTAACTTGAGTGTATCTTAAATACCAAGGAGTTGTTGATTTTTGTCAGACATAATCATGGCATTACAGTAAGTCAAGTATTCATAATCTCTAGAGATGCATATTCAGGTATGCTGGGGTGAAATTGAATCATGTAGTAGATTTACTTTAGAATGCTTCAGTTAAAGAGAGACAAAGAGAAGGGATTAAAAAGTAGAAGAGCTAGGTGAACCAAGAGAGGTAAAATGATCAAATCAGAGTGATGTGAAGGTAGGCAAGGGGAGTCATTCAATCGCTCTCTACTTTTGGGGTGTATCTGATATTCTTATGTAAAACCTTTGTTAGAAGAAGAGTGCATTTTGGAACTCTTTCCCTATCAGCACACAGAACACAGTATTGCTGTGCTGTATTCCAGGGCACAAATGCACCATAATTTATGTAACCTGCCCCATAGTGATGGACATTTAGGTTATATTCAGTCTTTTGTCATAATGAATCATAGTTATCTACATCTGTCCAGTTGTTTTCTACATGTGTAAATGTATCTATAGGAAAAATTCCTAGAGGTAGAAATGCTCAGTGAAAGGCCCATGGGTTTGTAGATGTAATAAATAAATATTGTTAAATAGCACCCCACAGGCAATTTGTAATTCCACTAGAAATGTGTGAGAGGACTTATTTCTCCACAGTTTTATCAACAGAATATGTGTTTACACTTGTGATTTTTGCCAACCTGGTAGGTGTACAATGTTACCATGGTGTAGTTTTACTTTTCATTTCTCCTACTATGAGCAAGGTTGGGCATCTTTTCCTATATTTAGCTCTCTGTCTCCATTAGTACATTTTGAATGTCTTAGCAGGTAAATATTTCTAACCTAGGAATCACAGAACATAACTTACTGTTATAGCAAATCCTGTGTACATGCAGACATTTCTCTCTGATCCTATAATTTCCCCCACCTGCCACCAGAACCTGGATGGCCTTCCCAGTCCTCAGCACAGGACTCCCTCAGCCCTTTAGAGTTGACATGCAGACTGAGATCTCTTTATATATTTTTTTAAGATTTTATTTTTTATTCATGAGAGACACACACACAGAGAGGCAGAGACACAGGCAGAGGAGTGCTTCTTAAGCAGGCTCCATGCAGGGAGCCCAAGGTGGGACTTGATCCCGGGTCTCCAGGATCAGGCCCTGGGCTGAAGGCAGACGCCAAACCGCTGAGCCACCTGGGCTGCCCTGAGATCTCTTTGACAGCTCTGTTCTATCTTTGGCTTCCTCACCCATGCTCATGTATTACGGTAGTAATCTTCTCAGCCTTTGGGGCGGCCAGGTAGGGACCAAGACATCTCATCTGTTTACCCCACTGTACCTTATAAATATTAACTTTTTTTAAATGGATGCCAAAGTAGAAAATACTGGGAAACTCTCCCTTAGGTTATATGAAATTAAGTCAGTGGCCAGAGATATCCCAGTATTCATTAAATACAGGATTACTAGAGAATAATTTGTGTTCATTTCTGGAAGAAGAAAATAAACTTCTTTGACCAACCAGAAAATCTTTTTGCTAGTATTTGTTTTGTCTTACCCCAGGGTTCACACTAGCATTAGCAGTCCTTACTGGTAGATGAACTAAATCCAAAGAGCAAAGATGACACTGAAGAAGCTCTGAAGTCCTTATAGGTGATTTCCCTAAATATACTAAATATACTAAATCACCTTATAGATGACTTCCCTAAATATACTAAAGTTCCTGTCTTTGTAGATCATTTGCCTCTTGAAATTTTAGGTTTATTAATATTAGTAATGCATTTCTGTAGTACGTTTTTACTGCATGAACATCTGTCATATAATTTAATCCCATCCTGGTTTAGGTCATTGAGATCTGTCATTCACATTTAGTGAGGAGGAGGTTCACCGCAGGGGAAATTAAAGGTCTTGGCTCAGTTTACAAAGCTAACCTATTTCCTGTTGAAAGCAGCCATTTGCAGTGGTGGCCATTTTCAGGCCACAGCAAGACTGAGTTGGAATCAAGAGCCAAATAGCTATTGTGTTTTCAAAGTAAGTCCACGACTGCATTTTCCAAAACTTACATTTTATAATTTTAATAGCAGTTCAGTCACTCATGATTGTAATTGAACTTGACTCTTTTTTAACTACTATTTTGACTCTTTAGATGTATTAATTCTAGTAATTATATTTGGACTCCTTAGATGAATTAATCCATCTATAAGTACTGATTGTAATGAGTGTCTTCATATTTTAAACAATTAAAAATATGTTTAATCATATTTATGCCATTTGTTTCTTTTTCTGAAGAGTTATTAACATAGAAAAAGATAAACACAATCATTTCTACAACCAAAAAAGTGACTTCAGAAGTGAGCAGAGTATGCTGGAAGAATTAGAAAATAAATTGATTAACAGCAGGAAAACAGAAAGTAAGTTGAGTTCATGATGAGCTACAAACTGTTGAGTGACACTAAGTTGTAGTTGTTTTGCTCTCTCTGTGTGCATTGACTGTGTGCATTCTCTGTCAAAATCACTTTCTAGTTGGCAATAAGTCTGTCTTTTAGGGATCTGTATTTTTTCAAGTCACTATTCAGTCATTCGAACTGGATTGTTTTCTATGTATGTTTTTTTCTATTTAAGAGGAAAAAGAGGGTTTTGTTTTTTGGTTGCCACATCAGTTAAAATTTCTTAAAATGAAGGGAAATCAGTTCTAGGGCTCTCATCGCCCTGGTGTTGTTGACTGAATAAGTAAACACCAACAGATGCAGATGCCTTACTCAGCTGTGGTAGGAGGTGGGCAAGGCCAGAGTTCCTTAAAACGGAGTTCCTTGTCTGTGATAGAAAACCTACCATTTCTGCCTCAGAGGAGCTGTCTGTGCATCCAGTGAAGTGTAATACATGAGAAAGTACTGTATAAAGTGCACAATGACTATGTTCTGCTATTACTAATAAATACTAATCATTGGTAACAGTGTATTAAATGTTGCTCTTAAAGAATTCTGTAAAAATATCTTGTTTTGTTTTTTTTTAATATCTTGTTTTGTTGTAAAGAGTTTCTATGTTGCAAAATCCTTGTTATAATGAAAAAAAACTGAAGCATTGCATAAAGGAAAAATAATGGTTATCAACTAAGCATTATGAAATATTAAGACATATAAAAACTACACTGCTTATACTCTTTATAATCGATTAAAAGAAATTTTAAATGTTTTCTTTCAGAATCTAAGACTGCAGTATTGTAAAAAGTCATCCTCTGTCAGTTAGTGGCAAAAATCATTCTTCCTCTTCTGTTGGGATGACAGCAGGCCCTAATATAATTATCAAATGTCTAGTTCTTTACTTTGTAGAGAAATCTTAACATCCCTCATATAATATTTCTTTTTCTCAGTCCTTTTGTAGACAACTGAGAGATGGATCTTTTTTAAAATTAATTAATTTATTTATTTTAGAGAGCGAGAGTGTGAGCAGGGGTAGGGGCAGAAGGAAAGAGGGAGAGAGTATCTCAAGCAGACTCCCGCTGAGTCAAAATCAAGAGTCAGACACTTAACTCCCTGAGCCACCCAGGCACCCTGAGACTGATCTTTCTATGTCTTAACCATGCCATTACTGGAGTATTTCCCTTCTGTGCATTCCCTTTTGTAAGACAACCTTATTCCTATCTTTTCATTTCCCATTGTTGTACAGTTCTGCCTCTCTTTATTCACACTTTGTGTTTATCTTATCTAGGAGAGGATGGAATGCGCTGTCTTAGCATAAGTATATAGAAAGTTTCTTCTTCCCATATTACAACTTACAAGTAATAAATACCTTTTCCTTGCCTCAAATATTGCACTGCAGTTTTGGCCTGCACTTATGTAATACTGTATGTGATGGTTGGCCCATTCTTAATATTAGTTCCAAATGAATAATTAAGGGATCATTTGCCCTATGACAGTATCACTGTAGCTGATCAAACTGTGGCAAAAACAAAATAACAAAACTTTCCTAGTTATTACAGTTTGCTCGAGAAGCTGCCCAAACTAGAGTTCTAACAGTGAGTGAATGAGACCCTGTAAAATATGTTGGATATGTTTCTGCTTTTATGGAACTCTTGAATTTTAATAAAAAGTAGAACAAACCATGGCAGGCTCACCTGGAAGAACATGCAACTCTTGATCTCAGGGCCATGAATTCAAGCCCCACATTGAGTGTAGAGATTACTTTAAAAATTAATAAATAAATTACTTTTTTAAAAAAGGTAGAACAAACCAAAACCTCATACACATGTGTGAGGTTTGTTACCACTGACTCTGGGCATATGGGTAAACTTTAAAAAAAAAAAAATTGGTTTTAAGGGATGCCTAGGTGGCTCAGTTGGTTAAGTGTCTGCCTTTGGCTCAGGTCATGATCGCAGGGTCCTGGGATTGAAATTGTCCTGCCTTGGGCTCCCTGCTCAGCAAGGAGCATGCCTCTCCCTCTGCCTGCCACTCACCCAGCTTGTGTGCATGTTCTCTCTCTCTCTGATAAATAAATAAAATCTTAAAAAAAAAAAAGTAATTGGTCTTAAGGACTTTTGGACAGAGCTGTTTAGTGCGTCATGCTTATTTGTGGAAAAGTTGCAAAAAAGAAAGAGGGGGTATACAAAGTACCCAACGATGATAAAATAACAATATTATTATATGAATATATGATATTAACATAATAATTTAAATAAACATTAAAGTAAGGTTATTACTTCAGAAAGAAAATAGGAAAAAAGAATCCAGTCTTTCTGCTGATACAGAACATCTGAAAATGTCTTTGAGACCATCATCTGGCTTTTATTGTGGGTCTAGCATGTTCTTTCAGGCTAGTCCCTTGTTTGAGCTTGATAACCTATAACAAAGGTACCACTACATGGCAGCTGGGGACCTCCTCAAGGCCATGACAATGACACCAGTGGGTCTTACCAACCACTGTCACAGAGGATGTGGTTAGATAGCATTAATTCTCATTAGGAAGTTTGTTGGTATATTCATGGAGTTAATATTGGTTAGAGAGTTTTAATATTCCAACAGTAGAGATCAAATTCTGTTTCTACAACTGATAACAAATTAAAAAGAAAAAAACTTTTTAAGAACAAAACATGACTACATCTGAGCTACTATTCCATGTATTTAGAACATTGTTCAATCACTCAATCTCCAGAGTTAAAAGAGAGAGAGAGAGAGAGAGAGAGAGAGAGAGAGAGAGAATTTAACCTAGTGGGCTTTTAAATATTGGAGGAAATTGCGAGTTACTTTATTTAGATCAAGGGTACTTGAAATGTTCAGGCTGTTTTGACACAAATACTCATCTTTTGTCCATTGTTTAATTGCTCTTGCTTGTCTTCTACTAAGTGATAGGGATCAGTCTTTTGTGTTGCAGCCACCTTTGTCATAGAGTTATTTAAAAAGTACGTGCTTCTTCCTTATAGGAGCAAAAATCCAGCAACAGCTGGCTAAAATACATAACAATGTAAAGAAACTTCAGCACCAGTTAAAAGATGTGAAGCCTACACCTAATTGTGAGTGAATTTAGATTTCATGTTCTGTCTTATGTGTTAGTATTTGCTATTGCTCATTAGAAATATTTATACTCTCCCAATAAGCACTTTTTCTGTTTGGCTTTACTGGAGCTAGGCCATACTGTATTGGTTAGGAATCAATAAAGATACATTAGATCATTAACTGTAATATCTGGCATTTATGTAGTTGCTTTACCTTTAAAATGCTATCACATCCTTACAAGTTATGAAGTAGGTAGAACAGAGAATAGTGTGTACAGAATGGAAACTCTGGTCAGCTAATGAAGAAGAAAAAGATTAATTTTCTGATTCCTAGCCTAGTGCTTTTCCCACCATTGCTTTTTCAAACAGTCACCTTTGAAATAATTGCATTTCGAACACATAAGGAAAAGGTTAATAGTACTGGGACAAAAGGTAGCGATTTGGAAAAAAATGAAGTGGCATTCTTACCTCCGTGCATACACCAACATTCATTCCTGAAGGATCAAATCACTTATTAGTTACGTGCTTTTAGGCAATTACTTGATCTTTCTGAGCTTTTATTTCCTTAGCTGTAAAATGGAGATAATCATAGGACCTACCTCAGGATTCTGGGGAGATGAAGTGAGACAATGCATATAAAGTACATGTTCAGTGTTTATAACCTAGGAAGCACTAAAAAATGATAACTATGACTCTCCTAATTTTTACTAATATATGAAGCCATAAATGTCCTAGGAAACAACAAGTTTTTATAATTGTATTCTAGTTTATAAGTATGATGAAAAGAAGCCTTAAAGCCAAAAGTAGACATCACTGACTACTTCACCAAAAAAAACAAAACAAAACAAAAAAAAAAAACCCAAAAACCATAAAGTTGAAAAGCAAATTAGGAAAATACCAGCAATACATATGCAACTTAAAAAAAACTAATGTCCGTAACATATAAAGAGTGCCGACAAATTGGAGCAACAAAGGTAAATAACCTAAGGGAAAAATGGGTAAAGATTATCAGGTACTTGTTTATAGTAAAAGGAAAACAAAACACATTAAAAAAATGCAAAGGCTCATAAATGATCACAAAATATCAGTGAAATCAGTCATGATCCGTTTCACCTCTCATTTTGGAAATGGTTCAAGATGCATAGGAGGTGACTCTCACGACCTGTAAGTGAGTTAAGCCTCCCTGCAGGACCATGCACCAGCATCAATCATACTGTAAAGTGCGTATACTTTTTAATTTGCCATTTCAAATTTTCAGTTATTATCTAAAAACACTTGAGCATATAGAAACACTACACAAAAAATATTGACCTTAGCATTGCATCTATTGGAAGGCTCATCACTTGGGAGAACTAATTAAATGGTTGAGGGTGAATGTATAGACAATGAAATCCCATGAAGCCATGAAAAGAATGAGAGTGGACGCATGTATATTGACATAGAAAGTTAACCACATATTTGACTGCATTTTTTTTAAATTTTTTTTTATTTGACTGCATTTTGTTAAATGAAAACTACTTGTCACAAAGCAGTACATGTAGTATAAAACATTTCTATGGGAAAAAAATAATGATATTAAGGTTTAATAACACATATTCAGAGGAATAAATCTGTTATTGTAAAAAAATAGTCATAAACATTAGCTTTATAAAAGCAGAAGTGTCTTATCCTTTAGGTTAAAAAGTGTGTTTAAAGTAAGGCAACATTTCATTTTTTTCTAACATTTTAGTCTTAGTCCTGCTAAAATACAACATAACAGTCTTTGCGTGTGTGTGTGTGTTTTTTTTTTTACAGTTGTTGAAAAGCTCAGAGAAATGATGGAAGAAATTGAAAATGCGATTAACACTTTTAAGGAAGAACAGAGGTTGATGTATGTTTTAAATTCATTTTGATATAAAATTACTGACTTTTAGTTTTCAATAATTCTCCACTAGGTTGTTGTATACAAACCATTTTATTGTTCTGTATTTGGTATTAGTCATAACACAAAAACGGTTTAACACCTCTCTCCTTTTGTTTTATTTTAAAAAATTTTTTTTAAGATTTTATTTACTTATTCATGAGAGACACAGACAGAGAGAGAGGCAGAGACACAGGCAGAGGGAGAAGCAGGCTCCATGCAGGGAGCCCGATGTGGGACTCAATCCTGGGTCTCCAGGCTCACACCCTGGGCTGAAGGCGGTGCTAAACTGCTGAGCCACCTGGGCTGCCCTCAGCTTTTGTTTTAGCTTTGATTGCTTTTTATGTTTCAAGTGATTTTTTGCTTGTATTTGGACAAGATAAAAACTCTAGAATTTGAAAGATGTGGGTATTATTTTCCCCCTTTGGGAAACTCTTTTAAGGCTTAGATTTACAATGTTAATAATTTTAAGTCGAGAAGATGACATGAAAAGAGTAAAGAATAATGAAATTCAAGAGGGGGGAAAAGGCAAGGTTAATATGGATTGATTTCTATCTTATTATTCAAAATTTACCTTTAAAATTTTAGATATGAAGAGCTTATTAAAGAAGAGAAAAGCACCAATAATGAGTTGAGTGCCATATCAAGAAAAATCGACATGTGGGCTTTGAGTAATTTGGGAGCAGAGAAAGCTTTCAGAGCCATGTCAGGCAAGCTTCCTGGAGACAAAGTAATGCCAAGCACTCTTCCAGAAGAAGTGGTAGATTTTGAAAAATTTCTTCAGCAAACTGGAGGGCGGCAAGGGGGCTGGGATGACTATGACCATCAGAACTTTGTAAAGGTGAGAAACAAACATAAAGGGAAGCCAACGTTTATGGGAGAAGTTCTAGAAAACCTTCCTGGAAGAACACAGGATGAAGTTCAGCAGCATGAGAAATGGTATCAAAAATTTCTGGCCCTGGAAGAAAGAAAAAAAGAGGTAATAGTCATGACAATAGCTATTATTCAATGTATGTTGCTGCCTTCTAGGCATTGTGCTACCTCTTTAACACGCGTCATTAACTTTACAACTGCTCATGAAGTGCATTTAGAGTTTCTCAACCCACTGTCTTTTAAAAGAGAAACTGAGGCAGTGAGAACCTAAGTAATTTTACCCAGCTAGTGGAACTCCAGTTGGATTTCTTCAAGGCCGAGAAATACAACAACAGGCCAGAAAACTTCTGATAGTGGGCAGAACCCTCTGTGTCTGCCTGAAATGTGGGAAATCCAGAGCTATTTAGGGTTCGGTAAAAGTTACCTTACCACCAAGGCCAGATTGTTTTCAATGGAAAATAGAGGCAGTATGAAAAAGTCTTTGGTTCTTAAAAGTTTCTTGGAGTTTGGGAGTGTAAGCCTCACTGTTTATTTTAAAAGACTCAATATGTTGGCTACCCCAGAGGAAAGAGTAACTCTTCATGGTAGCAAATACCTAACAGGTTCCGTTTTCACAAGAAGATGATTCTGGCTTTGGTTTAAACCAGGACTTCTCACCCTTGGCACTGTTGACTGGGCTGGAGACCTCTTTGCTATCTTGTGTCATAGATGGTTAGCAGCATCCCTAGTCTCCACCCTCAAGATGCCAGTAACACTGTGATCTTAGCTGTGATCATCAAAAATGTCAGATGTTGACAGATGCTCCATAGATGGCAAGAATTGCCCCTAGTTGAATACCATGGGTTTGGATAATCTGTCTCAGTCTCTTACTTATAGACTTCAGCGGTAATAAATGTCAACTAGCTTGGTTTGACAGCAAAAGTATGATTGTTCAACAGATGACATACCTCAAAAGTGGTGAAGAAATGTTGATTCCACATTTAATTTAAAATTCTAGAGATTCGGTGCCTGGGTGGCTCAGTCAGTTAAGCATCTGCCTTCAGCTCCTTGGGTTGTGATCCCAGGGTCTTGGGATCGAGTGCCACATCAGTCTCCTTACTCAGTGGAGAACCTAGTTCTCCCTCTGCCTGCTGCTCCTCCTGCTTGTGGGCATTCTCTCTCTCTCTCTCTCTCTCTCTCTCTCTCTCTCTCTGACAAATAAAATCTGTATAAAAATAAAATTTTAGAAAAAATAACTAGGGTTCATTTGTTGTTTTTTCCCTTAAAAATAAGTTGAATGTAGGAAAATTGACATTTGGGACTTAAAGAAATTTTTTTAAAACAAGTAATTTTTTTTTTTAGTGAGCGAGCACACAGGCTCATGGAAGGGAGAGGGAAGGAGGGCCGGAGGGAGAGGGAAAGAAAGAATCTTAAGCAGACTCCACACCCAGTGCAGAGCTGGATGTGGGGCTCAATCTCATGACCCTGAGACATGACCTGATCCAAAATCAAGAGTCAGACGCTCAACTGACTGAGCCACGCAGGCACCCTGAAACAAGTCATTTTTAAAAAGCCAAAATATGAGCTATTAAGAATTTATTTAGGCTTTTTTTTCCAGGATACTGAAAACATGGGGTCCTTGGACCACCAAAGTCAGCATTACCTGGGGACTTGTTAAAACTTACCAGACCCCCCCAAACACAGACTGAATCTGAACCCTGGGTGTGGGGGGAGCAATCTGTGTTTTCACAAAGCCGTTAGGTTATTCCATCACAAGTTAAAGTTTGAGAGCCACCTCTCTAGGGAAGAGGAGCAGACACAGTATTCTGGTAATAAACGTAAACCTGGATTCTGGCTCCCTCTTCTCACCCTATTTCCTAGTGTGTGATGACTGATCGAATATAAGGGTGAGGTGGGTGGGGTGTGCACGATGAGGGGCCATTTATTGTGATACAACATGTTGGAGGAGAAGAGGGAGGTTTAGGGGAAAGGATCAGGACTGTAGCTTTAACTCTTCTGAGATTAAGACGATGAGTAGGAGGGGTGATCAATGGGCTCAGTGGGTGGAGCAGGTGACTGCATCTTGGGGTTGGGAGTTCGAGCCCCATGTTGCTGTAGAGATTACTTAAATAAAACTTAAAAAAAAAAAAAGATGAGTAGGAAATTCTCCATGCTTATTTCCCACTTCCCTTAACATGTCCTGTATTTTGCCCAAATGAAGATACTGATTTTCAGACATGCCTTGAACTTTCTGACCTGAGGACCGTTGCTTGTTTCTGTTTCTGGAGCCTCCATCTTTCTTTCCCCTTCCACTGCCAGCCCATCACAATCTGACCAGATCAGATGCTACTTCCTGCTTGCCCATCAGACACAGGAACTCCTCTCATAATTTAGATTCTTCATATATACCTTTTTTTTTTTTTTGAGAGAGAGAGAGAGAGAGAGAGAGCATGAGCAGTGGGTGGTGGGAGGGAGAGGGAAAGAGAGGATTTCAAGCAGGCTCCCCACTGAGCGCTGAGCCTGACCTGGGACTCCATCCCAGGACCCTAAGATCATAGCCTGAGCTGAAATCAAGAGTCAGATGCTTAACCAGTTGAGCCACCCAGGCGCCCCTTGTTTATACCTCTTTTATGATGTGCGAGGGCGCATTCTCTATGCTGGTGTTTATGCACATATCTTATCTCACCTAGAACAGTGCTACTCAAACCTGGTCCATGGACTAGATGTTAGTTTGTTAACTATTATTGGTTTCCAGGAAGATAAATTGACTGCACCAGAATCAGCTACTCAGTAAGCTCACTGTTTAGTCAGTTCACTTTTTTTTTCCCTGTAGAAAACTTTCTCATGGAAGGAAGCAGGGCATTAATTTACATTCTGGTGTGAATTCCTGATATTTTTGTGGACCTGTGCTTTGAGAGAATCTGTACTAGATGGCACTTGGTATTGTTTTAATTATCTGTGGCTCCTACCACATTGCCTTGCATATAGTACCCTTATCATAGGGATTTATCTAATGAATGTATGATACAGCATGAGAAAGGGTGAAGAAACTGTTTCCTGACTAGTGGGGAAAGTAATTCAGTAGATATATCCTTAATGGCTGCTAGCAGACTGCTCGAATTTTAAATAATATTTATATACCCATATGCAATATAGCAATTTTACTTTTTTTTTCACACTTGTGAATCATTATGTGCCAGGCACTGACTCACTGACCCTTCACAACAGCCCTGTTTGAGAGGTACTACCCACCACTTTTACAGATGTGCAAAATGAGGACAGAGAAGTTTAGTGACTCATCCAAGTTCACACCTACTAAAATGCAGAACCAGTATTTGGTCTCAGATGGCCTGGCTTCAGACCCCATGCTCTCCACCAGCCCACTTTTAATTCCTCTTCTGATTTTTGACCAAAGGAAAGTCACTCAAAGTATTCTAAGCCTAGACAGAGAATTTGGAAGCTGAGTGGGATGATCAGAAGAAGAGATGTTCCCCATGAACGCAAAGGAAGGAGGTAAAGGAGAGGAGGCTACTTGATGAGGTGCAGTCCTTGTGAACCTAGGGATTCAGAGAAGAAGAGGAAGGCCAAAAGAATAAGCCACTACTCAGGGTTTAAAAGATAACTTTATTTTTAAAAAATGAAGTAGAAAAAAAACCTGCATTTGTTTAGGGGGCAAAAAGCTTTAAAACTCCAGCAACCAGCATTCTGCCAATAATATTCTTTTTGGGAAGATGGATATGAGGTTGCATTTTCAAGTGCTCCTGGTTTTTAAAAATATTTTTCTCTTGCTGTCCTTTTTATTTGTCTAATCATATAGTCTATTCAGAACTGGAAAACCAAAAAGCAGCAAAAGAAGGAGGAAATTTTCAAGTTGAAGGAAAAAGCAGAGAACCTATCTCTACTCTTTCATAATAAAAAAGAAGATAATCAAAAACGCAAAGAGGAACAAAGAAAGAAGCAGAAACTGGCTGTGGAAGCGTGGAAGAAACAGAAAAGTCTGGAAAGGTCAATGAGACGTGCCTCCCAGGTGAAGGAAGAAGAGGAGAAAGAGAAGAAGCAGCAGAAAGAGCGCCGACGCCAGTTTAAGCTAAAATTACTGCTGGAGAGTTACACGCAGCAGAAGAAAGAACAGGAAGAATTTCTGAGACTTGAAAAGGAGATGAGAGAAAAGACAGAAAAGACAGAAAAAAGGAAAGCCGCTGCGGAGGAGATCTCCAGGTTCCAAGAAAGAGTGAGTCAATACAGTTCCCGGGACATGCTTTCAGGGCTGCACGCAGCAGAACCCAGGGCTTCTGGAAGCCTGTCAGGCTGTACCCGGCGTTGGTCCAGTCGGAACAGGAAAGACTGTTCCCTGATTTCCAGTAGATTGTAGTCTCGAGGGAGAGACAGGTGTTCAAGTGGGAGACGTCAGGAGAACGCAGTGATGGAGGTGGGTGGGGCCCAGTACTTCGGGAGATGGACGGGCAGCCCGGGCAGCTTCCCCCGTAGCGGTGAGTGTTAGACAGGAGGTGATGCTGGCATTGACCCTTGGAGGAGAAGAATGGAGGGATCCTTCCTGGCAGAGGGAACAGCAGGAGTGGCCATGTGGCTTGGCCGGGAACCCGGGAGAACTGCAGTAGTCTCAGGGCACTGTGCACACAGGAGATGGGAAGCAGCTGGGGATGAGGCTGGACAGGGAGCTGTGGGCCCAACTGCACAGGTCTGGTCTTTGCCAGACCAGTTGGTCCTACACCGTAGGTGATTTGCTTACTGGTTCACTGTCCATATCCCCCCCATCATCATGAAAGTTCCATGAGAACAGAGGTTTTTGTCCTTTTTGTCCATCCTTGTACCCTAGGGTCTGCTACCGTGGAGAAACTTGGGATATATTTAAGGGCATCCAGGTTACTGCTGAGGGGTAGGGGATGATCAGGGATTTAAAAAAAAAACATGCAGAAGAAAAATGCTAATCAAAGAAAGAGTTTACGATTTTACCAGTAAAGTGGAATTCAGTCCAAAAAATATTTTAAAAGACCAGGAAGGACTCTTTCTTTATTTTTTGAAGATTTATTTATTTATTAGAGAGCTCAAGCACATTCAAGAGGCAGAGGAGCAGGGGTGGTGGAGCAGAGGGAGAGGATCTCAAGCAGGCTCCCTGCTGAGTGTGGAGCCAAGCTTGAGCTGGGGTGGGGGAGCTTGATCCCACCCTGAAATCACCCCCTAAGCTGAAAGCAAGAGTCAGATGCTTAACCAACTCCACTACCCAGGCGCCCCAGGAAGGATACTTTAGAATGAAAAAGTTTGCATGAGATACAACTGTTAGGAATATAATCATTAAGAATTCTTCTATGCATCCAAAAGACATAGTCGCAACTTTTCATAAAGCAAAAAGTAAAGGAACTACAAAGAAAAATAATAGACAAAAACGCAATAATGGGATATCTCTTAGTCCATATGTAAAAATATTCCTAAATAACAAAAGATCACATGCATTCTCCCCACCCCCCACCCAAAAAAAGGTGAGCAGGCCACACAATAAAAGACCATGGGGAAAATAAAGAAATCCTGTAAAATGAAAAAAATTCAAGAGATCTAAAACCAGACATATCTATATCAGTAAGTGAAAATGGGCTTAGGTCAACTATTAAAAGGAGTTTTAGATTAAACCATAGAATAAAACAAGATAGCTAAAAAAAAAGTGCGTGTCTTACATTTATATTCAGGAAAAATACAGCTCTTAGCTTTTGTTGCAAAAAAGTTAATAATTGGAGGAGTAGTGATACTTAGGGTAATTTAATTTTACCTACAAGCAACCAACCTTTAAATCAAATTCCAACTAATTTTATTTTCTTAATATTGCCCTTCTTTTGTTGGTGTATTTCTTAGGATTTACATAAACTCAAATTGAAAATTCTGGATCGACAGTTAAAGGAAGATGAAAAGGCAGAAAAACAAAGAAAACTGGCAAAATTGAAAGAAAAGGTACTGTGTGCTGAGATTCATTTATTTTTATTGGTACTATCCTAGACCCTTGATCTGTAAGGAGACAAGCATAAAACCCACTTTCCATCCATCCCGTACTGTATTTCGGTGTCATTTCCCCCAAGTCTCGTACTTGCCCATTCACATACCGCGAAGCCCACCTTCGTGTAACTTAAGCAACTGTCATCGGAATTCTCTCGTTTCACCTTCTCAGCACCTTATTCTCTTTTACCCTGAGTTTTCTCTTCCTACACTCCCTTCTGTTTTTCATTTTCTCTTTATGTACCTCTGTGTCAGACGTCCGGCAGCTTAGGAGCAGTGCTCAGTATCCCTGGTAGTGCATGGACTTCAGGTGTTGGTGCCTTTCATGGGAGCAAAGAACTTCTGGTGGTTATTTATCCTAAGTCCATTGTCTGGCTATCCCACTGTCGTGCTTGGCCGCATTACACTTCCCTCAGAGTAGAAACAGAGAAAAATAGAACCACAATGGAAACAGAACAAAATAATTGGACTAGAAAAAATGAAACTAAATTAACAGTTTGTTAATAGATTGATGGAGTCCAGGTTTTATGTCAGCTCTAGGAGCACAATGAGAAGTTTACTGAAAAGGTTATTAACAGTTTTATTTCTGTATAGCTAATATCAAGGATGTTTCTTATAACTGCTTGCTGTTGTTACTAAGGATCTCACTCACTAGTCCAAACTTAATAGTTCATTTTCTTTCTGATTACAGGTTGAAAACAACATTAGTAGAGATCCCTCTAGGCTTTACAGACCTACCAAAGGTTGGGAGGAAAGGGCCAAAAAGACAGGACCCACCAGCTCTGGGCCACTTCTGCATATCCCACACAGGTAAAAAGGAGTTAGAGTGGGTGTCCACTTTATAACAATTATTAAATATAACTACATGTTTATATTTTGTACAGTTTCTATATATATGCTGTATTTTACAATAGAAAGTTGATAAAAGTTGCTAAATAATGTTCATTTATATAGATGTTCTAGCATTTCTAGACTTTGAAAACTTGAGCTATTTATTCTTACCCAGTAATATAGAGTGGCATTTCACATGGGGGCTGGACTCTGTCATGCATTTCTCAACAGTCTGTGTGGTCAAAATCACCCATGAAAAGCCTTTTACTTACCCAGGAGGCATATTGTAATCTCTCTCAGTGAGCCCACCATAGAATTTTAATTAATTAGGATTTTTAAAAATTTTCCTTTATATTTATAATTGCTCTTCTTCCTCTTCCTAGGGCTATTCCAACCTGGAGACAAGGACTTCAGAAAAGAATATGAGATAATGAAGTTGGTATTCAGTTGATGAGAATGTCCGCATATTCATAGCAGGAGAGAGTCACTAACCATGTTCTTAAATTGTACTAGCCCCATTCAGATTGATAACTGTGTTATATGTGAATCAACAGGCAGTGAGTTTCGTGTGGCACTGTTGTATTTCCTGTTTCTACTCAGAGGGTATTTAATGTGTCTGTTGGCCTATTATTGATGTAAAAGTCTTTTAAATAAGTTGATGCTACAAACGTAATTTCATTTAAATACTCAGAACACTGCAAAGATATTTTGTTTTTGTCATGGCGTGGCAAAATAAATTGGGACAATCATAGAGTAACATTTTTTTTAAACAAAAATTTTGTAACATTTATAACCTGGAGGTGAATTAGCCCAAGTAACAAAAATATGAAGGTTTTCCTGTTGGCAGGGGTGGGGTGGGGGCGGGGGAATAAGGTAGTATTTTTCTAAGCTTATCAAATTGGTAGTTTGTCAGTTGCTACAGTTTTTGTGTAATAAATATTTTGTATTTGTTGGAAGCATGCTTTGTTTTAGAGAATATTTATTTTAAAAATATGCCTTACCTCATCTATACCCTATTATCTGTATTATCAATATTTTTTTATTTTCTTCAGCTATTCCAAATTTCCCTCCAGCCTTTCTGGACTTGACACATTTATAAAACCTTTGTGTCTTTCACATCTTCCTGGCTGATGCAGTTTTCTTTACTGCTTCTGTTTGGCTCAAAATATTTGGTCAAAAGAATTAATTTTAAAACTCCCAAACTTTTGTACATGAAAACACAATTTAACTTAATATGACTCAACTTTTCCTATTATAAAATCTTAGTTCCTAAATTTAATCAGTCCCCATCTTATAGGAAAGGTACTACATACATAATAAATATAGGAAACTCGTTTCTTTTAACTTTTATCTTGGAGTATCTTTTTTTTATATAAATTTATTTTTTATTGGTGTTCAGTTTGCCATCATATAAAATAACACCCAGTGCTCATCCCATCAAGTGCCTACCTCAGTGCCCATCACCCAGTCACCCCCACCCTCACCCACCTCCCCTTCCACCACCCCTAGTTGGTTTCCCAGAGTTAGGAGTCTCTATGTTCTGTCTCCCTTTCTGGTATTTCCCACTCATTTTTTCTCCTTTCCCCTTTATTCCCTTTCACTATTTTTTATATTCCCCAAATGAATGAGACTATATGTTTGTCCTTCTCCGATTGACATTTCACTCAGCATAATACCCTCCAGTTCCATCCACATTGAAGCAAATGGTGGGTATTTGTCATTCCTAATGGCAAGAGTAATATTCCATTGTATACATAGACCACATCTTCTTTAACCATTCATCTTTCGATGGACACCAAGGCTCCTTCCTCAGTTTGGCTATTGTGGACATTGCTGCTAGAAACATTGGGGTGCAGGTGTCCCGGCGTTTCACTGCATCTGTATCTTTGGGGTAAATCCCCAGCAGTGCAATTGCTGGGTCGTAGGGCAGGTCTATTTTTAACTCTTTGAGGAACCTCCACACAGTTTTCCAGAGTGGCTGCACCAGTTCACATTCCCACCAATAGTGCAGGAGGGTTCCCCTTTCTCCACATCCTTTCCAACATTTGTGGTTTCCTGCTTTGTTAATTTTCCCCATTCTCACTGGTGTGAGGTGGTATCTCATTGTAATTTTGATTTGTATTTCCCTGATGGCAAGTGATGGCGGAGCATTTCCTCATGTGCTTGTTGGCCATGTCTATGTCTTCCTCTGTGAGATTTCTGTTCATGTCTTTTCCCCATTTCATGATTGGATTGTTTGTTTCTTTGGTGTTACGTTTCATAAGTTCTTTATAGATCTTGGAAACTAGCCCTTTATTTGATACGTCATTTGCAAAAACTATAGAACACTTCTGAGAGAAATTGAGGAAGACACAAAAGAGATGGAAAAATATTCCATGCTCATGGATTGGAAGAATTAATATTGTGAAAATGTCAATGTTACCCAGGGCAATTTACACGTTCAATGCAATCCCTAGCAGAATACCATGGACTTTCTTCGGAGAGTTGGAACAAATTATTTTAAGATTTGTGTGGAATCAGAAAAGACCCCGAATAGCCAGGGGAATTTTAAAAATGAAAACCATAGCTGGGGGCATCACAATGCCAGATTTCAGGTTGTACTACAAAGCTGTGGTCATCAAGACAGTGTGGTACTGGCACAAAAACAGACACATAGATCAATGGAACAGAATAGAGAACCCAGAAATGGGCCCTCAACTCTATGGTCAACTAATATTTGACAAAGCAGGAAAGACTATCCACTGGAAAAAGGACAGTCTCTTCAATAAATGGTGCTGGGAAAATTGGACAGCCACATGCAGAAGAATGAAACTAGATCAGTCTCTTGCACCATACACAAAGATAAACTCAAAATGGATGAAAGATCTTAATGTGAGACAAGATTCCATCAAAATCCTAGAGGAGAACACAGGCAACACCCTTTTTGAACTCGGCCACAGTAACTTCTTGCAAGATTCATCCATGAAGGCAGGAGAAACAAAAGCAAAAATGAATTATTGGGACTTCATCAAGATAAGAAGCTTTTGCACAGCAAAAGATACCATCAACAATACTCAAAGACAACCTACAGAATGGGAGAAAATATTTGCAAATGACGTATCTTGGAGTATCTTTAATTATAACTTGATACATCTATGTCAAATGATTCAGAAATTTACTAATAGTAGTAACCTTTACTTATTTTATAGTTAATATAGTCAAAGTAGATGGCTTCCAAATTTTGGAAACGGATTTTTTTTTTTTTTTAGGATTTTATTTATTTATTCATGAGAGACAGAAAGAAAGAGGCAGAGGGAGAAGCAGGCTCCATGCAGGGAGCCTGATGTGGGACTCGATCCTGGGACTCCAGGATCACACCCTGAGCCAAAGGCAGACGCTCAGCCACTGAGCCACCCAGGTGTTCCAGAAACTGAATTCTAATTACACTATTATTGGTGCAAAATGAGAGAAATGACATAAAACATCCTTACTCAGGAATGCTTGTTTTATTTGTAGTCCTTGTTCTCTATAACCTTTTCAAATGATTGGAGGCAGCTTAGAAATAAAATATTGGACAACAGATTTTAAAAACAGAATGGAACTATGAGAAGATACACAAAAGAAAGTTTTCTTACATGTGGCTTTTGAACATGTTGCTTTTTGTTGCACACAAAAGCAGCTTTCCATTTCCTGCATCTAAGGAAGCGTACTGGGTAGTATGATTTTATGGCTTTTTACCTGTTTTTTGGTTTGTTTTGGTTTTTCTCATTCACAAAACCAGCCCTTCAAACTGAATCCAAAATAAATGAGGGATTTATCATATGGATCCTCTATATGAAGGATGTAGAAATAGCATAATTAAGAGTACCTTCAGTTACAGGCTCATAGACAAGATAAATAAACATTTCTTATAAAGGATATGGGTAAGAAATTTAGGAAAAACTCTAAAGGGAATATGTTAATAAAACACTCATAATTCCATCACTCCAGAGTAACTTTTTTCAAAAAATACCTACATATTTTAAAATAGTTACAGTCATAGAGTACATTTTATTTACCATACTAATTACCTAACATTATGTTATACATACTTTCCTATATTTCTATAGAATTCAAACATTATTGTTTAATGGCTAAATGTTCAGTTTTATAGATATTCTATTATTCGTGTACTTTGAAAACTTGAGCTATTTACACTCCTTACCTAATAATGTAGAGTGGCATTTTATGTGGGGGTTAGGTTCTGTCATGCATATGTCAACAATCTAAATGTGGTCAAAATCATCCATGGGGAAGAAAAAAATATATATATATGTATGTATGTATATGCACCTAGAGTCAGTGAGTCCACCATAGAATTTGGATCAGGCTACTGGTTCTTGAGCTGAGAATCAGATGAAATATCTGGGTTTCCTTTAAGGCCCGTTGAATAGGATTTTCTTTCTGAGCACATATAGACTGCATTATTCATTCTAGTAAATTAAATGTGTGTGATATGACTCATTTTGAGCATCCTCAGACATTTGGTGGTATATGTAACTGTAATAACAGAATGAGCACTCCTCTAGACTGGACATATCTGAAAAGCAAGGAATGTGGCCTCCCTATTTGTAAGGAAGCACCAAAAGTGCCCTCCAATTGTATCCAGCCCTTTGGTGATGCTGTATTTGTTAAAGACGTCACAGGAGTACTTGTGAATTAGTAGTTACTAGAACCTAAAATTAGGCACTTTGGATAACTCTAGTCCACACAGTATGTATTTTAAATAGATTTTCTAAGAAAGCTAATAATAAAACTATACTCAAACTTAGCTGACTATAAAGAACATAGGTTTTGGCTTGATATTTGGCTCAAAATGATCCCCCGCCCCCCCAAAGACTGCCTCATGAACTTTTAAAGGGAATGGTAACATAACTGCTGAAGCAAATCAATCTCTCTTAAAAAAAAAAAAAAAAAAGCTAGAAGCATGTTCATTTTTTTAATATACAGGTAGTTGGAGAACATTTTAGGTTGGTTGCTATGTATGGTAAATTGATTCAACATTGATGCTAGATGGATGCACTGACTCAAGCATGAAGACTTGAAAAAGAAAATGACGCAGTCACATATGAATAGATTATAATTGTATGTTACATTTGGGTGTGTGTATGTGTGTGTGTGTGTACATATATATATATATATATATATATATATATATATATATATATATTTTAAGTGATTGCTGGTATCCTAGAGAGGACCAGGAACGTCTCTGAACTTAGGAAGTGTCAATAATTATTTAATGAACATATTTTATCTCCACAGCTTTATTTGCAGGCCTAGCTTGCCTATCCATTCAGCTTTAAAACTGTGGCCTTCCAAAGAACGATTTACTCCGATCCATCCGTTTTCATAGGTACCATCCTTTAAGCCCCTGATGGTTTCCAAGCGATCGAGGAGCTTTTCATCTTGCACTTCCACAAATATCGAATGAGGGTAAGAGTTCTGCAAGGATTTGTGGATTTGTGGGCCGCATTTTACAAGGCGTGAGAGGGGGCTCCAAGCCTGTGGAGCTCAGAACGGAAAAGGTGGGGTCCAGAGAGAAATCCGAGGCCTAAAGCGCAGCATAAGTCCGCCAACACCGAGCGGTATCAACCGCGCACTCCCTGCGCCCGGCGGGCGCAGCGCCCATCCCCACGCGCCAGCCCCGGGTTGCCCCTCGGGCTTCCTTCCCGCCGCGCGCCAACTGCTTCCGGGTCGCGGCGGACGTCGCTTCCGCAGCAGCATGGCGGCCCCGGAGGAGGAGCGGCCGGCGGGGAGCGGCGAGGGAGAGCGGCTGGATTTCCTGCGGGACCGGCACGTGCGGTTCTTCCAGCGCTGCCTCCAGGTCTTGCCCGAGCGCTATTCCTCGCTCGAGACCAGCAGGTAACTGGCGGCTCCGGGCCCCGGCCCCAGCAGAAAGGCACCGCGGAGCCTGCCGGCCGACCCGCCTTCCGTGGGGCCTGCGCCGCCGCCCACCCGGCGCTGCCCGGTGCCTCTCCCCTCGGGCGGCTCGGCGGTCACCCTCACGCCCCCGAGCTACGGCGGGGGGATTGGGGCAGCGGTAGGGCGAGGGCGGGGGAACCCCCAGTTTCTGCCTTTCTCTCTTCCCGACCGTTTTCCCTGTCGACTCTGAGCTTCCTTTTTACTCCCTCTGCGAGGCTGCGAATCACTTGGCCTCGCCGACTTCCGAGTGTAGAAGGAGAAAGACCAGTCATTTCGTCTTCGTAGTTTGGGTGTATCGTCTCCCACGCTAGCCTTTCCTCCGACACCTGATTAACTCTTAATTGAATATCTGTATGGTGTTCGCTGTATCGGAGCGGCGCAGACCCTGTAAGGTTCGTAGAAATTAACTTTCCAGGAATTGTGAATCTCAGGGTAGGAGAAGGTTGGCGGAAGAGGTGCAGCGTTCGTGGAGCATCCTGTTAAAAGTGTATCTGCCGTAGCCTTGGGAGTTTGGAGTTGGCTGAGGAGTGTGATTTGGCTGCGGCTAAAAAACTGTGAATTAGTCATTCAGAGTAAAAAGTCTGGAGATGGGAAGGAGGAGGAGGCGGTCCTCGCTCTGCATTGCTGTGTTTCGAAGTGGGGCTCCCAAGCTGCATGGGACTGGATAAGAGAGCAGATTGGTTTTGCCCTAATCTCTCCGTGTTTTCTGGACTCTGATTCTCTGGTGTGTTTCAGACGTTGCATGGCTGGGTCAGACTTGGAGGTTTGATAGTTGACTTGTGCCTAGTGGCCTCGAAATGCGTGCTGCTGGGTGCTGGAGTACAGCCGCACAAGACAGGCTGTTTCAGTATAGAGCTCTGTGCGGTGTGTTCGCCTAGGGTTGTTGGGAGCATGTGTGAGAGCAGATTCCCAGCCCAGATGTCTTTAGAGACGCCTTCCCAAAAGAGATCCACCCCTTCCAATCACCGCCTAAAATTACGTATTTGTTGGTTTATTTGCTTACTATTTTTCTTTCACGCTGGATTGTAAACTTCACAAGGTATCTTTTTTCTAGTTAACCTGTATGATACTAGAGGTGCCCTGTCCAGTGTAGTCACGAACCACATTTCGCTGTTTAAATTTGGATTAATTAAAATTAAATCACATTAAAAATTCAGTTCTTTCCAATTGCAGTAGCCACTGCATTTCGAGGGCTCCATCACCTCATTGGCCAGTAGCTTTTGTTTCTGCTTTAACATTTCCATTATCCCAGAAAGTCTATAGGGCATTGAATATATTATCTCGTATATAAGAGGCATGAAGTAAATATTTGTCGAATAATGTGAGCTGAGCCCTGAACAATGAACGTATTATTGCTAAAGAAAGAGTGAAGCATCATTTTTTAGTCCTTTCTGTACCCATAGGTGTTGATTGACTAGCAGAGCATATCGCTAGAGCTAAATTAAGGTTTCCAAAACTCACTCTATTGATTGGAATGATATGTGATGGAACAAATGATACTAATAAATCACATATTTTATGGGGATTAACTTTATGTGAATTCGAAGCATTTGGGTAAAAAAAAAAAATCTTCCATCCTATTGTGCTTGTTAAACAGTTGAACTTTGCTCATAGGTATCATTTTAGGTCTGTGGTTGCATTTTCAAAATGCCAGTGTTTGTTCTGTTTAAAATTTCAGCATGGACAAAACCATATATACTAATGTATGTTGGTAAACTGATGATGCTCATAACAAAATAAAACTGCAAAAATTGATTGAAACTGATTTAATGACTCTAGTGTAATCTTAGAATCTACAACAGGCATTATAAGAGTATATTATGTCATGGTGCGTTAAATATTATTTCCTTTGTAATGCCTAATGTTTATCACTTGAATAGAATATCATTTCTCATTTTCTTAGGGCACACTTAAAAACCACGTTTAAGCTAATGTGCACATAGCAGTTTTTGTAGTAATTTTTAAAAGTTTGTCAGTTTTTCTCTTTTCTGATTCAGTCTTAGTTTAGCATTAAGTCCTTTCATGGTGTATGGGATCTCTAATTGACTTTAAGATGCTTGTGAAGGAGCTCTGAGCTTTTAAGGAGAGGTGACTGACATATCACAAAATTTCTACTGATACCAGAGTTTTCAGATGAAACAATGTGTTTGCTAAGTCACAGTTCTTCATCTGGTATTGCTGTTTAATCTTTCAGACATTTATTTGAGGGCCTGCTGTGTGTCTGGGTACAGGGAGGGATACAGTGCAAAACCAGTGATTTTGGTGTTCCTTTTTTCTTACTGATAGATATGACACAGGTGACTCTGGGGAAGGCTGATAACAAACTAGATATTTAGACACTTATTTTCTGACCCACCCACCTGGCAAAATTACCTCATTCCCCTGTTTCTTTTAGTCTGACAAATAGGACTAAGTAATTTTTATTTTTCTAATAACAATGGGTTTATGAAAAGAATAAAGTCTTTGTTGTTTCACTTGTAGCTTTCTTTTCATATTAACTTCTGGAAAGTGGCAGCTTTTAGTTACCTCAGGTGAATATTAAAGCTTGGATTGTGAGCTTTGTGCATTAACAGATTTCTTTTCTATGAGCTTTTTGGTCATGAGTTGTTACTGCCATTTGTAGTTGGGTAATGGGAGTTAGAGTAGGTTTTTTTTTAAATCAAAGAACATAATACTGACTATTTTCTATGTATGTTATTTTTACAGATCCAGCTGCTCTTGAAGAAGGGTTTAGACATTTGGTTTTTATTTTCTGAGACCTCACAATCTACCTGGTCTTTCTGTTCATGTGTCCTTCCGTTTTCCCCTGTGTAGTCTGTGTCATAACTGTCTACCTGATTAACATCTAGCAACTACTCTGCTCTTTCATTCCCTCCCTTATCTGAAATATATTGCAGTCCAGCGGTGTATTTCTTAAGGTGTGATGATGATGGCAGGAGGCTCCAAATCAGTGACATCATCACATGCTTTATAAGACTGCAAGTACCTGGGCCCCTCCCCAGTTCTGCTTCAAACTCTGGGCTTGCCAGTGTGCATTGTGACAAGCATTCCAGATGGTATTCATGCACACTGAAGTTTGAGACTGTTTGCCTGATAGGAGAGACAGATGTACAAACATTCTTAAAACAGTTCCTCCCAACTCAAATGTGCATATAAATCACCTGGGGATCTTGTTTAAATGCAAATTCTCATTGCATAGATCTGGGAGGGGTCTGCATAGAACCTGAAGTTCTAACTGGTTCCCAGGTGGTGCTGATGGTGCCGATTGCCTGACCACACTTGAATTTGTTTGCACAATGATTGTGGTATCCACAGACATTATGGAAGAACCTTAGCTCAACCTGAAGAGAGACATGTCTCAGAGATGGCTTCTTGGAACAAGTAATCCTGGAGCTAAATATTAAAGAATGTGTTAGGTTTGGAGGAGTGGGGGATGGATTATAGGCAAATGGACAAGACAATAAAGGTAGACGAGTGAGTGTTGAGCAGAGAAACTGCAATCATTTGTCTAATAGTGGTTCAAGATGTAAGGCAAGTGTGGTAGGAATTGAGTCTGGAGGGCAGACATGGGCCAGATCACAGAGGGCTTTGTGTGCCAGATCAAGAAACTTAAATTTGATATCACATAAGTGATGGAAAGTTGCCCAGCGGTGGATCTTTCTGGTTAGATATGCATTTCAGAGTCATCATTGAATTTGAGATTGGTTGCTCTGGTAAGTGGAACTAGACCAAACAAGGAAGACCCGTTAGGGAGCTGTTGTAGTATGCAGGAGTCTGAGAGCCGGATGTTGGGGCAGTGGAAGCAGGGATAGAATGAAGAGGTATAGGAAGAAGGAGGAGTTCCAGAATTCTAGGTTTGGATCTGCCATCTGGTCTAGAGAACAAGAGGCAAAAGGAGTAGGTTGAGGAAAAAAAAAGATGCTGTCAAAAAAAAAAAAAAAATCAAGAGCACTAGTTGTGTGACATGGTGGGGTGGAAAGGTGGAAGGGAGGAAGGAGAGAGAGAATAGAATCTTAAGCTCCATGCCCAACACCAAACTGAGGCAGGGCTCGATCTCACAACCCTGAGATTAAGAGTCATATACTTAACTGACTGAGCCACCCAGGCACCCTGAAAATTATTTCTATTAATAGTACTTATATAACTACTTAGTTATTTTCTCTCATAATTTAAGCTGCTTAAGGTTTGGAGGCTTGTTTTATTCGTTTTTGTCATGACATCTGCTTTCTAGTAGATGTTTAGTAAACATTTCTTATTGAAAAATTATTTTGCATGTAAAATAATTCCAGAGATGTGTGACTGTACTTAAAAGTACTTACCATTGAACCAGCTATTTAAAAATATTACAGATAAAGAGTAAGTCTTATAATTCTAGCGTTCCTGCAGCATTGCAGTCATTCATTCCAGAGTATTTATTGGGGCCTCTGTTTACTGTGTATTTTAACTTCATGATTAATTTCCACCTGTCCTCTAAGGCTGTCTCATCATTTGGACTGTTAGCAATTTTATCCAGCAACTGTGTTCCTATTTCTAAATATTCCCTATTTCTAAATGCTTGTTTATAATTTAAAAATTCTTTGCAATATGGTTTAATTATAGCCCCACCTGAGAGCTAGGCAGGAATGCAGTTACTTTTGGGGATGCCAGTAAATAGACTGTACTAGAAAGAGGCAGAGCAGGTAATCCAAAGTTTGGGAATCTAGTCAGTGCCCATAAATTAGTGTTTCCAGTATATTCCAAATGGTTACTTACCTGTCATAGCCTAACAGTACACTACTCGTTTAGTAGTACAGGAAATCATGTTGCTATTACTCAGTTCTTTTATCTACTGCCCAGACTGGTTTTCTTTTCTTTCTTTTTTTCCCTATTTAATCCACGGGAGCTTGGGCGACTGTTTCTTAAGCCTGAAAAATTGGAGATCTTCTGGTGACATCATTTAGTTGATGCCTACCATCTGTGAATTGATCCAGTGGGGCAGCACGTTGATTTAGAGGAGACAAACTTTACTGCTTCATCCATGTAAGATATACTTCCCATATGTATTGTTCAGAGTGGAAGAAGGGGCAGGAAGATGTGGCTGGCTTACTTTGCTTTCTCAGGTTATAGTTTCAGAGTTCAATTCTAGGAAAGAGAAGAAAGGAAGAGAACAAATGAATACTCACCAAAGTAACAAAATTGAAATACCTTCACTGGCTTGATTTTAGGCATGTGTCTTGACACGATTTCCCCTCTAGACACCTGCTCCAAGGTGGGTGGGCAGCAGTCCATACCCCAAATACCACTCAATGGGGCACTGTAAAACCCTCCATTATTTCTCTCAGAAGCCCACAGCCCAAAATTGCTTTGTTTTTCTTATGACTTCTGTAATTCTCTCCCTCTCAGAATTTTAGGACTGCTTGAGAACTCTGCTGTGATGAGAAAGGATATTTTTCCAGCCTATCTTAGAGGGAGGCCAGACATTTGCTGCAAATTGATTCCTTGGTTCTGTCTGCCAGCCGCTGCTGGGTGTCTTATTTTATGACCATAAGCTTTTCACTATAGCTGTGTTAATCCTGTAAACCTTAGTCTTACCTGCTAGTAGTTGAAAATCCTGGACTCTCAGAAGCCTTTAATAATTAAGTATGCAAGATTTTAAAGTAGTTTACCAGCAACTGACTTGATTTCTGGTATTCGCATCCATATTCAGAAGCAAGTAAAATGAAAAACATTCATTCATATAACACTTAACATGTAGGTAACAGTATGACATTAGAACAGGGTTACTTAACCTCAGCACTGTTGGCATATTTTTGAATGACGCTGCCCTGTGTGTTGTGGGTGGGACATTTAGCAGCATCCTTGGCTTTACCAGCTAGCTGCCGTTGGCACCCTCCTCTAGTGACAGCCAAAAATGTCTTTAGAATGTCCCGGCATCACTGCTCTAAAGCAGTGCCTTTTTTTTTTTTTTTTTTTTTTTAAACAAGCTCCATGCCCACAAGTGGAGCCCAACATGGGATTTCAACTCACCCTGAGATCAGGACTGGGCTAAGGTCAAGAGTTATACACTTAATTGACTGAGCCACCCAGGCACCCCTAGAGCAGTGCTTCTTTTTTTTTTTTTTTTTTTTATTTATTTATGATAGTCACAGAGAGAGAGAGAGAGAGAGGCAGAGACACAGGCAGAGGGAGAAGCAGGCTCCATGCACCGGGAGTCCGACGTGGGATTCGATCCTGGGTCTCCAGGATCGCGCCCTGGGCCAAAGGCAGGCGCCAAACCGCTGCGCCACCCAGGGATCCCTAGAGCAGTGCTTCTAAAGCCCTGCTGCACACTACCCTCACCTGGGAAGCTTCCCACACCTGCCTCCCCCACCCTAAATACCAGGTACCCAGACCCCACCTTCCACCTAGAATTTCAGTTTTATAGACTAAGGCCCAGGCCTCTCTGTTTTATTAGTGGTGTTTTAGGTGTTTGTTTTTAAGCTAATTCTAATGTGTAGATGGGCTTGAGAAACACCCTTGTGGAGAACACCACCATGCAACTCAGAGTTCCTAAGTAGCTTTTTTTTTTTTTTTTTAAGATTTTATTTATTCAAGAGAGACACATGGAAAGAGGCAGAGACATAGGAAGAGGGAGAAGCAGGCTCCCTGCAGGGAGTCCAACGCCTGACTCATCCAAGAACTCCAGGATCATGCCCTGAGCCAAAGGCAGAGGCAGAGGCACAACCGCTGAGCCACCCAGGTGTCCCGAGTTCCTAAGTAGTTTTAAGTGGTTATCTAGGGTTGAAATCTCAAGCAAATTACTGGAGTTCTTCGGACTTCATGATCTTGAGCTAAAAAAATTTGAGAGTACTTCACTTAGAAAAGAATACCAGCTTATTTTTATAGCTTTTTAGATGTTTTCTAATTATACATTTTTTATTGCGCAGAAGATCTTCAACTTATTCAGCCTTAGTAGGTTGTCTTATCGACAATCCTATGCTGTCCTCCACTTTTATCTTCCTTTTTTTTCTATAATAAAGCTTTAATAAACGTAATTATTAGATACTTTTAATTAATTGTATCTGACTATACTCATTTACAACAAAACTGAAAATCCCAGTGAGAGTTCTCCAAGAGGGTTGATGAGGTATTGCAGGTCTTTTATTAGTTAATTCAATAAATATTTGAGTACATATTACCACAAGGCAGACCTTATCTCCTGAGACATAATTATCATGAAGAGCAGTAATTCTTACACATGGCTGCTATTCTATAGACATTCTTCTAATTTCTAAAGTAGCATTTTGTTTTGGGAAAGAACAGGGTTGTCTGGGGGGCAGAAGGTGCCCAATGACCTAGAGAAAGGATCTGTAGTGTGATTGTGTTTAGATCCTGAGGTCGTTGTCATTAGCTCCTGTCAAATCAGGGAAATATCAGTAAGGATATTCCTTACTGATTTCCCTGAGGTCTTGCTTGCGGGCAGGTATTGCAGAAACTGCGAGTTGTAATGTTTTACAGATAAGCGGACTTAGAAAAGATTTAGCAAAGGTCCTACCTAGGTTATAAATGGCTAAATCAGCCCACCTCGGATTTGAACATAGCTCATTTGACGGTGAAGCCTGAACTCTGAACCGCAGCCTCCCACATTAAGGGGTTTGTTCACTGCCCTTAATTTAATCCTGGTCTCAGATAAATCACGTCCTTAGTTCTGGTGGATCTCAGTGGTTTGTTAGAATTAGGGTAGTATGTAAGAAATTTTCTAGCTCGGTGTCTGGTACATAGTAATAGTGTCTCAATCTGTGTTTCCCCAAATCTGTTGTTGTTAAGTGTACCAATATCTCATTAGTCTTAGTTTTTGCCCTTAAGCTTTGGTTAGAATTAAATTACTCCCTGATTTCTTCTCCTATTATTTAATGTACACCAGCCTTTTTCAACCAGGGATCAAAGAGAATTATACCCTTAAAAAAAAAAAAGTGACTTTTCTCATTTTTCTTTAAGTTGGTAGTGTTTTTCTAGATGCATGGGAAAGAAGTTAATTTATTACACACAGTGGATGCCTTAGGGTAGTAAGGCTTATTTATTTCTCTTTTTGAATCTTAGTTGAAAAGGTTACAGAATGTGTCCAGTGCCTTTGCTGTCAGATTTTAGGCCAAAGTATTAATTTGTTATTAGTCATAGGAATTATTAGAATACAGAAATGAGATAACCATGCTCAGATAGCAGTTTTGCATCTTAGCCTGAAAAGAATTAAATATAACAAACTCTTTGTATAAAAAATAATCACCAAAGTACTAGTTTTTATATGAAAACAAAGTTAACACTTCTCATTTAGTGTACAGTCTTGGAAGGAAGGGATTGTGTTGCCTTACTGTTTTTCATTCTATCACAGAATCCTCTCTGGGAAAATGGAGTTGAGACGCATATGTATTTTTAAAGTTTTATTTCCCAAAATTCATTTTAAGTTTTTCCCAGTCACATTATTTGTAAACCAATTTGTATACAGATGGATTCTAACATTCCTTCAGAATTAAGCACCAACTGTAAGCATAGTTGCTCTTGGCAAATAAGTGGAAATTGGGATTTTTACATATTTTCCAGCCTTTTTAATTTATTTGTACTAACTAGGTGCAGAGAATTCTTTTTTAAATTCTGCTTTAGCCTTTAGGTTGCTGAGACACTGCCTTCAATGAATCCATATATGCTTCAGATGAGTAGCACAGGTTTTTTTTTTTGACTCCTAACTATTCCTTTTTACAAATGAAACAAACACGTGTGATTGATATTAAACTAGAACTATAAATAGGACTTTTTGGCTTTTGCAAAATGAGACTATTTAATTTTAAATTAGAAAGACTATTATTTTTCTGAATCAGAAAGACTTCAGTGTTTTGATAGTTAAGATGGAAATTTTATGTTTGTTTGTTTGTTTTCTTTTAGGCTGACAATTGCATTTTTTGCGCTCTCCGGGCTGGATATGTTGGATTCCTTAGATGTTGTGAACAAAGATGATATAATAGAGTGGATTTACTCCCTGCAGGTCCTTCCCACAGAAGACAGTGAGTGAGTTTTTAGCATTTTATTTTTAGTGTGACTAGTTAGTTGTACTTGGCATAACATGTGTCAGACTAGCAAATCTCAGTATTAATTTATAAACTATTACCATATTTTATTCATCCATGTTTTCCTTGTAGTGTTGCACTCCCCTTGTGTTCAAATACAAACACTTAAGTCTAATCATTGGAGCACCTGGCTGGCTCATTCAGTGGAGTGTGTGACTCTTGATCCCAGGGTCGTGAGTTCAAGCCCCATGTTGAGGGTAGAGATGACTTAAATAAAAATTAAAAAGTCTAATCATTGCTCTCTCTTCCGAGAGAACCATCGTGCAGTTGTCTGGGACTCGAGATTTGCAGTTGTAGCCACATGTTATGTTCCGCACTTCCTCGTTGATGATTGCTTATTGATTATTTGTATTTGGTATTTCTGTTTGATTAGTTTTATAGCCTTTGCTGTATTTTTCATTCCCAGCCATTCTTTTTGTCTTTTCAGTGAACTCTTTGCTGTCAAAAAATTTCTTTTCAGTCTCCTGGTGGTTTTCTCTCTTGTGTTTCACTAGCCTTTCTCTGATGGTTTCTTAGAACTCTTACTAGCACTACAGTCATTTTTATGCTTCTTAAACTTTATAAATTTTGGTCAGTTATTTTTCTTTTCGTAACTAATTTTCAAAATTTCTATGTTTCCTGATCAACTAAATGCCCACAAGTTTTATGCACCTTATTGTTCACTCTGTTAAGTGTAACATACCTAACATTGATTTAATTTACAAATGTTAGAAATTCTAACCTTCAAAAGAGAAGCAGATAAACTCCCGAAAATAGTTTTTAGCATGCCTAAATGAGTCAACATTTATAAATTAACTGGGTGTTTCGTTGGTTGAAGTAAACATTTATAAATGTCTCACCTAGATGAACTTTAGGGAAATAATAAGCTGAAACTTTATTTAGAAAAAAAGAGGTTTGGGGACACGGGTGGCTCAGTGGTTCAGCGTCTGCCTTTGGCTCAGGGTATGATCCCGGAGTCCTGGGATTGAGCCTTGCAGGGTGTCTGCTTCTCTCTCTGCCTATGTCTCTGCCTCTCTCTGTCTGTGTCTGTCATGAATAAATAAAATTTTGGGCAGCCTGGGTGTCTCAGGGGTTAGCGCCGCCTTCAGCCCAGGGCCTGATCCTGGAGACCCGGGATCGAGTCCCACGTCGGGCTCCCTGCATGGAGCCTGCTTCTCCCTCTGCCTGTGTCTCTGCCTCTGTGTGTGTGTCTCCTGAATAAATAAAAAACCTTAAAAAAAAACTTTAAAAAAAGAAAAAAGAGGTTTGATCTATTAGCAGATGTTTTTGGACATTGTTTTATGTCTTTCTACATTATTGTTATTGGATTTCATAGTGTTTGTGTTTATATAATTTTTAAAATCTCGCCTGTCAGTGAATTCTTACTTAAAAATGATTAGACATTTTGAACTAGGTCTGGCATACACAAGTATCTACTCACTTTTCACCAGCTGCATGAAGCAGTATGTATGATATATTGGTAAGTAGTTAAAGATTCTAGCATGTTGGTGAGTAGGATTTACTGAATGTGCTGCTACACCTGTAAATACAGGCTGTGATAATTAATAAGATAATGCTACTCATTTTTTTCGGAGCTTATGGCTGAGATTTGGTCACAATTCTAGATGCCTGCAAAGTGGAAGTAATTTGTGTTTTCCCTTTTTACTAGGTTGTTTTTTGGGTTTTGGGGAGGGGGGGTTTAACTAGTTTAAATCAGTCTGGGTTTTTTTTTTTTTTAATTTTAAAAGTTAAATATTACATATAGTATTATTATAGATTCTGATTTTGGATTATTAAAAACACATGTCCTGATTAAATTATACACTAATTTCTTGAAAGCACCTCACATAGTATACATAAGGAAATTATACAGTGTGAGTCATAGAAAAGCTATTCTCTATTATGTTTTTGCTAAAATATATATTATTTTTAGAAAAAATTTATTGCTACTCATTTCCCTGAAATAGCCATTGCTACTCTAGAAGAGTATAGATCATAACATTTGAGTGAGAGAACTCATACTACTATATTCTTTGCTGGCCTCTGTGATTGAACTAAGCTATTGTTTTTTCTTAGAATATGTTTACTTTCTTCTACCATTTTATTGTAAGTTTTTCATGGTAGTTTACTATCTATTAATAAACACTTTTTTTTTTTAAAGCAACTTGCAGAATGGTTAAAATAACTGATTAATTATTCCCCCAGTGGAAAAGCAGTGGCCACAAAACAATAGGCTGCTGGTTTTATGCTCTTTTTTTTTTTAATTAATTTTTATTGGTGTTCGGTTTACCAACATACAGAATAACACCCAGTGCTCATCCCGTCAAGTGTCCCCCTCAGTGCCCGTCACCCATTCACCCCCACCCCCCGCCCTCCTCCCCTTCCACCACCCCTAGTTCGTTTCCCAGAGTTAGGAGTCTTTATGTTCTGTCTCCCTTTCTGATATTTCCCACACATTTCTTCTCCCTTCCCTTATATTCCCTTTCACTATTATTCATATTCCCCAAATGAATGAGAACATACACTGTTTGTCCTTCTCCGATTGACTTACTTCACTCAGCCTAATACCCTACAGTTCCATCCACGTTGAAGCAAATGGTGGGTATTTGTCGTTTCTAATGGCTGAGTAATATTCCATTGTATACATAAACCACATCTTCTTTATCCATTCATCTTTCGATGGACACCGAGGCTCCTTCCACAGTTTGTCTATTGTGGACATTGCTGCTAGAAACATCGGGGTGCAGGTGTCCCAGCATTTCATTGCATCTGAATCTTTGGGGTAAATCCCTAACAGTGCAATTGCTGGGTGGTAGGGCAGGTCTATTTTTAACTCTTTGAGGAACCTCCACACAGTTTTCCAGAGTGGCTGCCTAGAGGAGAACACAGGCAACACCCTTTTTGAACTTGGCCACAGTAACTTCTTGCATGATACATCCACGAAAGCAAAAAAAACAAAAGCAAAAATGAACTATTGGGACTTCATCAAGATAAGAAGCTTTTGCACAGCAAAGGATACAGTCAACAAAACTAAAAGACAACCTACAGAATGGGAGAAGATATTTGCAAACAACGTATCAGATAAAGGGCTAGTTTCCAAAATCTATAAAGAACTTATTAAACTCAACACCAAAGAAACAAACAATCCAATCATGAAATGGGCAAAAGACATGAACAGAAATCTCACAGACGAAGACATAGACATGGCCAACAAGCACATGAGGAAATGCTCTGCATCACTTGCCATCAGGGAAATACAAATCAAAACCACAATGAGATACCACCTCACACCAGTGAGAATGGGGAAAATCAACAAGGCAGGAAACAACAAATGTTGGAGAGGATGCGGAGAAAAGGGAACACTCCTACACTGTTGGTGGGAATGTGAACTGGTGCAGCCACTCTGGAAAACTGTGTGGAGGTTTTATGCTCTTAAACATGGATTTTACACATGTCATTTTGTTATCCCTTGGGTGTGTGACTATGTTCATGAACTTTTTTTGTGTGCAATTAGTTTAATTAAAACCCATATTCTTGGGACATCTGGGAGACTCAGTCGGTTGGGTGTCTAACTCTTGGTTTTTGCCCAGGTCATGATTGGCATGGGCCATGGGACTGAGCCCCTCATCAGGCGCTGTGCCCAGCAGGGAGTCTGCTTGAAGCTCTCTGTCCCTCTGCCTCCACTCCCCCCATCCCATTCACACACACACTCTCTCTCTCCCTCCCTTAAAAAAATAAATACATCTTTTTAAAATACCCGTATTCTTTCTAAAGACTGCTTTGTTGTGAGAGGTTTGTTAATATCTGAACTCTCATATTATTCATAATGTGTTTGCTACATACTCACTAGAAGGCTAAAATGGAAAAGGCAGAAAGTAACAGTACAACTGGAACTCACACAAGCTGAAGGAAAACTGCCAATTTACCAACTCCTTTGGAAAACTGGCCGTACTCACTAAAGCTGAACATGTGTGCACTTCTCCCTAGTCCACACCCATCAGAAGTGAAAACATGTTCACCAGAAGGTATGTTCACAGCAGTGTTCTTCACAAGAGTCCAGAAGTTAGGAACCATACAAACTACCTGTCTTGGGTATAATGGATGAATGATGTATTAATACAGTCACACAATGGAATTCTGTACAGTGGAAAGTGGGAAAGAACAGTCTATAACTATATGCAAAAATTTTGATGAACATCACAAACCTGTTTTGAGAGAAAGAAGTTACCTAGTGTATAATTCTATACAGAGTACAAAAATAGACAAAACCAGTGGGAGCTTTTGGGGAGCAAAGGAAGAAGAGGAAGTAGGAGGGGGCTTCTGGAGTGCTGTCATGTACTTTCTCTTGAGCTGAGTACTGGTTATGTGATAAGTTTACTTTGCAAGGTTCATTGAGTTTATGATAATGCGCTTTTCTTATGTGTATTACAGTTTGATGGAAGTTTTAAAATTTTCTTTGAATTCCAATTGGTACTCACCCCATCTCTTTTGAGACTTATCAGAATTCTCTTTTGTGTTGCACTGTCCTCTCCATGGATTTCGTTGGTTTGAAGCACATTGCTAATTGTTTTTTCATTCATCGCTGCTTAATTGTTACTTAAAATATTTTTGCTTGCGCTTGAATTGTACGCTTCTGGAGGGCAAAGAATGTATCTGTCTTATATTTATTTTGTCTTTTAGTGCCTAAAGCTTTGTTGTGTATCAGGAGTTGTTGGACTCTTAAATCACCCTTTCATCCTCCAACTTGACTTCTCTGTGTTTTCACATTTGGTCTAAAGCATCATGATATTGTGATTTATAAGAAATGTGTATTTGGTCTTCATCCACAGTTTCTGGCTCACAACTCCCAAGACCTTTGGCATTTCCTAAGGGTTGAGAGTGATAGAAATTGTCTTTTGTTACCTTAATAAGGTGACTTTTGTAAAGCACCTAAGGATGGGGTCTTTATGCCCTTGGAG